CAGAGATGCAGTCAGGTTCGTCTTCAGCAGCGATGCAGGGATGGATATCCAGAGATTGGCAAGCTGAAAGGCGACGACGAATTTAAGAGATGAAGGCTGCCACAATGCCCTGCTGCTGCTGCAGCATCGTGGTTTGAAGACGGGTGTATTGATTTGATTTCCCTCACATATGAGGAGGGTCAGAGCAGGGGCGTTGCTAAGAGCCATTAAAGAGGCCTGCCTACTCAGTCACAGCCAGGGGAGCCTGTTTATCTCGCCCATCTGCAGCCTGCTCTCAGGCGTGTTTTCTCAGCCCTGTGCTGTTCAGACTCTGTTTTACTCCACCTAGTCTATATCAACCCAAACTACATCGAGCATCCAAGTGCCTGATAGTTAGCAGTACAAACAGAGGGACTTCACCAGATGCTCTGTTAAACAAAGGCAACAGAAATTTGTACGCATCTCATGGATTTTTAATCACAAAGCAGAAGCAAGCCCTTTTTCTCCCTGTTCTGCATCATGATGCTAACAAGCTTAGCGTATGAAAAATAATTTCTTCCCTGCTCAAGTGCTCATAAAAAGTTTCAATAAGGGGCTAATAGGATTGAAAGTCAAGGAAGAGAAAGCTTGCAGTAGAATATTACCATCACTCTATTACTTTTTAGGCTATTAAACAGCATCCCAAGAAAATAAGTTAAACCATTAAAACCAACAGAGAAGCACTAAAAAATAGCAAACGTTCTGCAAAGCACAAGGTTCATACTTTCTGCTGATATGAGTCCGCATACTTACAGTGATAGCGAGGGAGCTCTGCCCATGTAGGGATGTTTAAGTTTTGGTTGTACCACTGAAGTGCCGGGAGGGGAAGGAAGGAAAGGGTTAAGACAAGAGACTTCTTTTCAGGTCCCATTTATGCAGATTTATTCTTTATTAAACAAAATCACTTTGCTCCTCTCTGAGTTGCACCAGGCTGTCAAATGTCTTTCATCCACATCAGCCCAGCTACGAAATAGCTCCCATTTGGCAAATGAATCTTGTTCAGCTGGGTATGAAAGGAGATCAATAAACCCAAGGTGGATTCACAGTCAGCTTTGCCAACAAAACTGCCTGCTGTTGCCTTTAAAAAAGTAAGAAGAGGAAAGAGGTACAGCTCCTTGTATATCTACCTCATAATGGTCTCCTCGTCCATTACTTCTTCATCTTAAGATCATGAATTCTCGGATTTATACTGCTTGAGATGCTCCTGGGCTTGAGAACTCTCAGGAGATGAAATATTTAATAGATGTCCTAATTCATTGTTGTCTTCCACGGGCATTTCATTTAGTGCTTTCTCCTCTCTGCACCAGTAGTTTTAAGCCCCTGTGAAGCACTTGATTACATAACTCAAAGCACGTTACGTGACGAGGCCATTACTTGAGTGCTTTCTGTCCACGCTGCTGGAAGCTCAGCAAATGCACAGAGACCAAGAGGGCAAACCAGGCCTGAAGATGGGAGAAGGAACAAACCACAGCTGCAACAGTAAACAAGAACACGTGAATTTGCTGGCCTTCCCCCTCAAGCAATGGTTAAGGGCCTAGTGCTCTTCGGCCATCCCACAAAGAACGGGAAACTACATTTTGTAATTTCAAATCTTTTTGCATTCTTCTATTTAAAAGGGAGCTACCAAGACGGCTCGTCTGTTTCTGGTCACATCGGGGTGCTCATTGCTCACTAGCAAAGAGATTTCACGAAAGCCATGCCCCTTTGCATAAGCCTTGGCCCCCCTTTCTGATTTGGGGGCAGGGGTTGGTAATTTAACTCTCCTAAGCTGCAGAGCAAAGGTCTCCCCCTGCACAGATGTTGGCTACGCAACCTGTTCTCGAGGGATTGTTCTGTACCGTGGCAGCTGAAAAGCCATCTTGGCCATCAATATCAATTTTTAATAAGGCTTTGAAAACCAGGAAAGCTGCAGAGGGTTGGAGAAACGCCAGCCCCATACCAATATTTTCTATGTATAAGTAATCAAATCATAAGCCCGTTATTGTGTCATCAACCCTGGGAAAAACAATGGACTGAGTTTGGTTTTCAAAGAGACGGCGTTGACACAATTTACTAAAAGCTCTGCAGTGTATCACACTTGGTTACTGCCTGATATGTTGATTAGGGAACTCAACTGATTCTGAAGCAACGTGACACATTAAAGAGATTAAAAGCTGGCTAACCAGTAGGCCCTATAATACAACTGCAAATTAGAAATCAATGATCTTGTATATTTTCATTCAGTTTGTACAAGGATGTGCTTCCCACGCCTGAACTATTTAATGTTAATTAGCAGTCGCAAAAAAAAAAAAAAAAAAAAAAAAAAGCACAAATTCTAAGTAATGTTCTGGCTCATACAGGCTTTGATGAGTAAACAATGGAAATAAAAATTCCTCCACAAATGACGATAAGGATCAATATGAACTCAGTGCAAAAGCAGGGCCTTTTCAGAGAGCTGCAAGGACAGAGAAGTGCTCTGGAGACTCCTGGTTTCATTCATGGCCTTGCTTTGGCAGAAGATACCTGGAAATGTTATACAGAAGAGTGAGACTGGAGGACAAAAAGAAGCTATTAGAATATCACTATCTTTTTAACTGTGCAAACTGGGTGGCAGAGATATCAGAATTGTGGGGACACCATGACTTTCAAAAATTATAATAAAAAATAAAACAAATTGAACTTTCCCATTCATTTGAAATCCAAAATCTATAGAGCCTCAAAGACAAAACATGCTGGCTAACTTCAGCAAGTATCTTTGCTTTCATCTGCAAAAGGCCTTCTTTGACAGCTCTGAAGGCAAGTCCAAAGCACAGTTTGAAAAAGGACCTTCCTATTTGTGAGACAGACAGAATGCTTCGATGCCTCAATCTGCAATACAAGGCAGCTCCTCAGGCTGCCATGACCAGAAGTGGTTGCCACTCACCTCTGGCAACCAGCTCCTGCGGATGCAGTTGCCCACATTTTCAATGCTTTAGGTGACCTAGGAGACAAATTGGCTCTTTTAAGTCTTTGAGTGGATCGACATACTCCTTGAAAGAAAATCAGCCCAGTTCATCGTATCACCTTTTTATCCGCCCCCAGCAAAACCAGTACTTTCTGACAACTACCTTAGTTTGAAAAATTACACATTGCCATACACACACAGAAGAAATCCCCTGAAAACATGCTCTATTCTTATTCTTAGAGATTTCAGGGTCTCCTAGAATTGGTATCCAAAGACTAGCACGTTCTGGTACGCCTTCTGCCAGGCAAGCCCTACTCCGAACAGAAGCAAAGGAGAGGACTCTCCTGAGGCCCAGCTGACCCCGGACAGCCTGTGTCCTTCAGGGGTTGCTCTCCCAGGACCACAGTCCGGGCAGGCCATTCACATTGCTCCCACCTCCAGGCGTGCTGCTGCTCAGCATACCTTTGCCACAGGCACCGGCACCTGCTTGCACCCCGACGGGCAGCAGTGACCTTCTCACGTTGCCCCGTGGGAGGAGAGTGGACAACTTTGGGCAGGTCAGAAGGCCCCAAAAGAGCACAACCTTTTAAGTGCCAGCCCAAAACCATTTTAAATCTGTAGTTTAGTTTCAGAACCAAGTGACTGGAAGTTTCAGCAGCTGTCATTTGCTTTTCGTTCCAAATATAAATGCCGAGCCGGCCAGATCTCCTTGCCAAACACAAGACACTGCAGCAGGCTGCGAATGTGCCTATTCCTCACAACCCCGTGAGCAGATCACAAGCTAGGATTGCTGCATTTCTCCTGTTTCTCTTTAATGAGGTAGAAGCACTGGACCATATAATATACATATGCAGGGCTTTGAAGAGAAATACAAGGTCGAGTCTGCAACTACAGTGTAATAGGTCCTGTAATTTATATTTATGCCTAACACGTCCAAGGCTATAACTAACATTCTTGTTGTAGGCAAACATACTGTGAAGAGATGAGGTCCTACAGCAGCAAAGTAAATCTGTGCTATAGGAACTGCCCTAGGAGCAGTAAATCTGAGAGCAGTATATTTTTGTCCTTCACCTCCGTCTCTTTCCAGCCATTAATCTCTTCCCCCAGCAAACGCGGTGGCATTAAAGCAATGTAGGTGGCAACCTGCCTGCTGTCAGGCAGAATAGTGAGTTCCCTGCACCTTAGCTGTCGTAGCTGGGCTTGAGAACAAAGGCAGAACAAGGAGATCACGCTCTGATTTCTAGCATTTGTGTACATGTCCATTACAGCTGTTGAATTTTCACCAAGCTTTACTGAAATTCTACGTACTTACACATCTGACCAAATGTATAGATCAGCCCAAAGCAGAGACTGCTTGTCTTAGAGACAGTTCAAACACACAATCCTCTTTTCTTTACAGGGAAACCATCATCTTTAAACACATAGCTTTAACCTTATTATTTTTTATATATAATTCGTAAGGGTGCCTTTTTCTAACAGCACAACTAACACTTAAAAATCAAGTTCAAATCCTACTATTCCTTATGGCTTTTCTTTCTTCCACTCTTGCACTGGTTCAGAAAACCTTTTAACAGGGTATTGCAGTCTGACTAGAGCACTGAAAATGTTTGAGCAGCTGCAGACATCGCTAGTTGAAAGTTTCTCTCTAGCACATTTTTATTTGCTAAGAAAAGCAGGGTACCATAAATCTCTTCGCTCCATTGAGTAATTGTGTCCAGGAGAAAGCATGTAATCAAAATTAACATAAAAATGAAACAGCAGGAGGCAGTTCCTCCGAGGCCTACCCAGCTAGGATTTTTTGTGAGCATCGCTTTGTTGATATTCAGGGTTGATGCAAGAGAAGATAAACTGCCTCAACTGAAACTACACAGAACACGTTACCATTTAATTCACACATATAAAAGAAAAATAAAGGAAAAAAAGAAAAAAAAAAAAAAAGCTGTGTTGCACTACAAAAAGAAATGAAGTAAGACACAGAACAAGCCAAATACATGACAAATATACATGCAACATAAGTTGCATTAGCACAGCTTGATATACAGAGACCAAGAGCACTTGCTTATTAGGAAATTAGTTTAATATGCTTTATAGACTCTTTCAATGCATACCAGTCTATTGCAGTTTGATTCCAAATACGTGCAAAAGAATGCCTATTTTCTTCCCTTTAGAAGGCAAAATAAAACTTTGTTTGACAACTTTCAAGTAGTTTCACAGATCTTGCAACAGATCTGAAAAAAACAAAAAACGGTGCTAAGGGCTAAAGTCCAGGGACAGTTGAAGTCATCTGATTCTGCTTTTTTATTTTTTTTTAATTAAATATATCATTTGCATCTTTGGTATTATAGGGTAACCAAGCTTCTGTGCCTAATGCAAAGGCCTGGTTATTTACTCATGAAACTTGAATGACTATAATTAACTCCACGGCAGGAGTCTGAGCTTTGCATGTAAGAAAAATACCTCCAGGTGCTTACTCAACTAGTATTGTTTGATCAAAACCAACAACAGAATCAGGTGAGTTGCTCAGTTAGTGTCTAGAGCTTCCACATGCCATGAGAGCAGTGTCAGTCCCAACATGTCCCTATGACACTCAGTGACACGTGAGCCCAGAATTCATTTTCAGACTTACCAAAAGTGCAAGACCATGAAAGTGCTAAGAACTTAAGCTTAGCGCATTCATGAAAATGATTAAGAACTATAGATTAAGGTACGCAGAGAAAACCACTCCCCCAAGCACCACAAGGTAGAATTGCTTATATTGGAAAATTTGAAAGCATGGACTCTAGTCATTCTGTGCAAACGCAGATTATTGCTGAGGAAATACATGTTACATATTCATAAAATACCCTTTGCATGTGGCAGAAAATCAGATGTCCATTAAAAACACAACCAATAAACCAAGAACATAATTCATTTCAAAGTCTCCTAATAATTTGCACTACGCAAAACTTTCCAAATATATAACACCCAAATTTAATACAGTATTTCCACAAAAGAGAGACATACTTATTCTTAAACATGACTAACATTGAAAAGAATTCACTATGCAGGCATCTAATGACAAAAATGAAGGAGATGCCTCAGGCAGTAACTTGGGAGACAAACATGGTACCACACAAGATCAGAACAACACCCTAACCTGTGAATATTACTTTACCCAAGACTATTAAGACTTCCTGATAGGTCAAGAGCTGGTCACAAGTAGGATGTGAAACCCTGTGGTTTCAGGAGTGCTAAAGCAGGAAAGCTGTGCCATAACATCAGTTTTCTTCAGACATTCTGTTATTGCAATTAGCAGAACAGCTTTGGCAACATCAGCACAGAAACAGAGAACATGTTGGAGCACACTGGTTATCATCTATCTATTCTTACAGGCATTTGAGCTCAAGTTGGCAGTGACCAAAATGCTGGCAGTACCCAGCATGAACATGAGGAAAATGCTGTACTTGCAACTCAAGTACCAATACTTTGTAAATATGAAGAGGTGGCTTCAAGGTAGACCTTACACAGACATACTTCTTCCTGTCAATTTGCCTAGTAGTTCTAGGGGAACTTCTCATTGTAGGCACAGCCATTTTCCTCATGTTCACATTGGAAACCGCCAACATTTGGATCAGATACTGAATTTATTAAGTACTGAGCACAAAGAAGAGCACTAGCACTCACTGAATCTCAATATATCACCTCAAATACTGTCGTCATTAAGAAAGTATAATCAGCCTTTGCATTTATGCTATATGTAACAAAATTTGGCTGTAACTGTCATGTAAATGTTATCACTCATCTCCATTTAGAAAGTGAAGAAGTAAGGAAAACAAAGATCTACAATATAACTAGCACAACCAAACCAAACAGCCTACGATTAAGCTTTGGTAACGCTGAGGTTTGAGCAACTGATGCTTTAGTTTTGTATCCTCGACAATTGTGTCAACTTAGGCTGCTTATCCCAACCTAAATGCTGTTATAACAGAAGAAAAACAACAACAACAACAAAAAAACTACAGCTCCAAACTCCTCCACTTCGTTTTCAGCTATCTTACTCTAAGGCACTGCCAACAGAAAGGCCTCACCCATGAAATATTAATTATTTAATAAATGCTAAAGTGAAGCTTTGAAAGATTTCAATGCAATTATTCCAAGAAAGTTACATAGTGCCAAATTATGCAGACATATAAAGACCTTTCCCTGTCTGAACTACTATAGATAAATTGACCAATTAAAATAATAAAAAAAAGAAAAAGTAACTTTGCAGTTACTAAGTTTTTTAAAAAATAAATGTGAACAAAAATACATCTTGACCAATTAAAATAATAAAAAAAAGAAAAAGTAACTTTGCAGTTACTAAGTTTTTTAAAAAATAAATGTGAACAAAAATACATCTATCACAACTGGTAACTTTAGGCCTTACTTGATAGCATTTATTCCTGAATTACTGCATCCCACTTTTTTCAACTTCTTAATCCCTAGAGACAAAGCCATCTAAGAGATGTGAGAGAAATTAATTTTAAAAAATGCCATAGGAAAGCTAGGAGCAGAAAATTTTGAAATAAACTAATTCTGATTTACTTGTGTCTTTAAAACTTACAAAAATTTACTTTTCAGATTTTATTATAAGCAGCAGTCGAATGACTACATATAAATATAGCTCAATCTTCAGGAATGGAAGTGGCTGAGCAATTTGCTTAAGTTATTTTATTTAATTATTTAATTATTTTTGAAGGATGTCTTCAAGAGGTTTTAAAGCTTCAAAGTTGAAGAAAGTTGTGAACTGCATATTCATACAGGCAGAAAAAAGGTCTAGTCCTCTCAGAAATACTTGGAAACAAAATTTCATGGAATGTTATAATTCCTCAGTCAAGTAACCTGAGCTAGATAACCTAAGTTAGGGTATTGTTACACTGGAATTATTATTATCATTAGTGACATCACAGCTTCTTGTTTTGTTTTTTTTTTTTTTATTAGCGTTGAAGCCTAAATAGAAAGTCATAGGAAGTCATCTGAAATTCAGGTGTTGTTTTTATTTTTTTTTAGTACCCCATCAAATGCTCTATACAGTGTACTTCTGCTGCCAATAATAACACTGAAAAATACAAACCCTGTAGAAATACCTTGTCTGTGGGAGCCATAGCCTTATAAAGTATCAATATTGCTGTCACTTCCTAATTAAAATAGCAAAGCCAGAAACTACTAAATACTTTTGACTGATGTTTCACCTAAAAGCCAGCCTGAACAAATTCTAGTCTCTCATCTACGTAAACTCCTCACTCTCTTCCTAACATATGAACGACACCGTACTTTTGGACAAAAACAGCTAATTGTCACATTTGCAATTCTATCTGTATACTATTTAATCCAAAGTGATTTATGTTAAAGGAGTTATCCAACTATCAAGTTTCAGCTGCAAGATGCTCAGGCTTGCAATTGTGCTCCTCAAGCTTTCAACTCAGGTAGACACTGTTCCTAACAACTTTCAGTCCCCACATCACAGGAAAGAGGCAATGACAACCTATGGTCCTGTACACCCCACTTTTGAGAAGTTACTGAAGGAGTAAATGACTTATTATAATGATCCAATTTCACTTGTCTTTACACCAAAAGAACATATTATTCCTTTAGCATTAGTCCCACAAATTAAGTATTACAAAAATCCTGCAGAAGAGGACATAAACACTGCTGATGAGCATATTTTAGTTCTACCTGTACTTTGAGCCCTGTGTTTTCTTAGGCTCTTGAAACACTAACTATGGGATTCCTGTCTATGCACTGTAAAGTAATCCAAACTCTAAAGTAATCCAAAATAAATTTATTCCTTATGTAGTACCCCAAAAACACAACCAGGGTGTGCCTTTTTACAATTTCAACACTATTTAAGAACAGTATAATCATTTATTGAAAATCTGTTTGCTATGCTTCATGTTTGCTATTTCTACTAACAATAACTTTAGCAAACACTTGTGTTTTGCCTCACACAGATAGTTTCAGACAGAACACAAGAAACTTACAGCAAAAGGACAGTAGTGAAAAGGTATCAGACATGGGAAACCGAAGCTGTACTGTACAGACCAGGACAAAAAATGAATGAGCATTTCAGTATAAAAGGGTAAGAAATCTGTGAAAAAAGGTTCAAGTGGTAAAGTAGAGGTTCTGAACCCAACAGCAGCACTTCCTCACACTTTGGACTATCTGTGCAAAAGCAGCATTAATAAAACACCTGTATTTACAGAACAGAGGTAAGCAAACAGCAGGTAAAGCTCAGTTCCTACTGTGATTGTCACAGCCCTAGCATCATCTCGTTACGAACAGGGTTTTTTGCTATTCATGGAAAAGAGTCAGGTATAGAGTTTGTGTCTTTACGCTACTCTGCAGCTTATACTAGTGTCGACAACTTGTCAATTAAATCATCAACAGTATTCACAAGAAGTTTGGTATCATCCTTCTCGCTCATTCGATGCTGGCCAGTTTTGCGGAGGATGACATCCACGTCTTTGCTCAGGATACGATCAGCGAGTTGCATAGAGATCTGCCAGGGGACATCACTATCCTTCATGCCATGAATGAGCCGGACAGGACACAATATAGGAATGGGACTGTTCAACAAACAGTGATTTTCTGCTTCCTGAATGAAGTCATATGTCACGGAGTAATATCCTTCCTCATTATACTTTGTTGGAAACTTCCATTCACCTTTTTCTTCTATTTCTTTTTGTGCCTACAAAAATAAAAAATAAAAAAAAAAGAGAGAAGTATACAAAACACGTCACAAGCTTTCAGAGTTCCTCAATTTATTTCTGTTCTAAACTCACTTAAACCTCCCTCCTTGAAAGCACAAACCTATTCATCTCACTGAATGTAAGCTGAAGAGGATTCAAACCCATTTTAAAACAAAGATATTCTAACACTGAAATCTAAACAGACTGCTGAACAACATGGATCTGACTTCATGCCTTATATACCCCAGTAACATAATCACATTCTAGGTAGTATTCACACCAGCTCCATACTAGAATCCCTGTATTTTGCAGACACTTCAATTAATGTAAATTTACAACTTACCTCCAGTACAAACACAAAATACTGGAATACTGCAATAAATGTACAGCTTGAACAACAGAATTTCTTAAATGTTTGACCAATTTTTAGATTGAACAAAATACAACCATCAGCTTTACCTCAATGGGAAGCCTCTTAAAGGTTGTTACAAGATGGTCTGCTGCTACGGCTACTCCAACCAGAGCAGCTACTTTATTTGGGCGTGCTATTGCAGCATGAAGCATGAGCCATCCACCTAGGCTGGAGCCCACCAGAATCTTAAGAGAGAAAAAATAAGATGTTATTTTATAGGAAAGAGCCTTTTTTATCCCCCTTTTACAAAACATCAGTTTTCATCTTGTTTAACTACTTAAACCTTGGATATAATCCTGCTGTCCTTACCCAGGCAGAACTGCTGTCACCTCCAGTGGAAATTTTGCCTGAGTAAGCACCACAGAATCTGGAATTTTACTATTCTTTTTGTTTGACATGGCTGGTTATTGCTCTCTGAGACTGAAACACTGTAAACGAAATGAGAGTTGAAACAATTCAGTACCACAAGCATACTTAGGTGCTTTCTTAAAATAAAGGCACATCATAAAGGTTCAGTGCAGTGACAGAAGTCAACAGAAGCAATTCATGAACAAAATGCTTTTAAACACAATACCAGGTTTTCCCAGGTTGTAGAAGATTAGGTTTCTCACAATCATTTCTGAAATAACTGAAGAAAACAAATGCTGTTTTTGTTGATATTTTAAATGTATCTTATCACATCGAGTATCTTAACTTTTAACAGTCCTGTAAATCCTTCAGTTAATACATCAGCACTGGGACAAAGCCAGGCTTTTCCACGAGGAGAGCTGCGCAGCACAGGAACGGATCCTTGCTGCCTCTTAGTTGGAACCTTCGCCACAAACCCTTCCCAAACCTCCTGGGATAAAGCCAGGGCTGACGTAACCCACTGCCAGTGACAGCCCTGCTTCAACAGCCAGCCTCCGTGAGGTCCTGCCAACCCACCTTCCCACAATGCTGTCATCAACCTGTTTGCAAAAGAGGCCCCATGAACATGGATCAGCTTGGAAGTGACCAGCTGGAAGCTGGTAAAGAGATGCTACTCTTCCCTGGATCTACTATAGCCTATTTTTGATTATACAACATTCTGTCTCAAGGTACTAAAATGTTTTATATTTAAAAATATATATATAACCTGTGGTCCATCTGTAAGTTCATCCAGTATAGACAGAACATCTTTTTTCCACTTTCCAATTGTACACTCCTCAAAGTTACCATCTGAACTTCCACATCCTGTATAATCAAATCTGAAAAAGTAAGCATCAAAATGAAAGTCGTAGTACTGCCTACAGCAACACAGAGGCTGAACAGTATTGTTTAATAAAAATTACACATAGGACAACATGCTGCATTGAGTATTTTCCTACTTGGTCCTGAATATCACCAGAAACCACATGAAAAGAGGTTCAGCAACCTATGCAACTGAGGAGAACATTTCATGTAACCATATCCAAATTTACCAGGATATTTCCAGACTATGAATTTGATTAAGTTCTCTGTAAGCCAAAAAGCACCATACTTCAATTATGAAGTGTAAAATCTCTTCCCAATGCTGTATCAAATTGGGAAGACTTACAAAGCTTAGCATGCAACCTAGTCTATCTAAGCAGAGTATCAGCAAGCATATCTGTGTTCCTCTACAGCCACTCGAGGCACTGGACAGCTTAGTAATATTTGGTAATTAATAAGCATGCTTTATAGTTTAGAAAGAAAGAATTTGGGGTTCCATTCCATTTGGGGTTGGCATTCCAACCCAAACACCGAAGTCTACATGTCTTTGTTAACCCCCCCTCTCCCAACCTATGACAGTTGTTTCATTTCCTTGAGAACAACACTTTAATGTACCTGACGAAGGCATGACCTAGAGAGCTGCAGAAATCCTCAAGGGCAGTTGCTTTCTGACCGTTCATATTGGAATTAAAGCCTGGAAGGAAAATAACCCCTGGATTCCTGCCTTTTAGTCTATGATAAGCTAGATTTGGTCGATCTGGTCGAGTCAAAAAGCTGACTGATGACTTCTGCCTGCAAACTAATAAAAACATTTATTTTAGTATAATTGTCAAGATAATGCTGGCAGAAATGCTAACATATTATAAAATTAGAATTCAGGAACTGCGTACATATCATGTGAAACTAAGATGCTTAGGCTCAAGAGGAAAGAAAAATAAAAGTGCCTCCTACACTTTTCAATGACTGTAACTTAATGACTTGAGGTTGCTCAGTACCAAAGCCAACCATGCAAGGAGTCCACTCAGCAATTAGCAAAGAGGCCGACAGAAGACAGATGCTAAGATTTGCTTTACTTCATTTGTCCCATCTTGAATATTTCCTCATCTCACATGAAATCACAGCTTTCTCATCCACTTAAACTTTTTATTTTTCCTCTTTTTTTTTTTTTTTGTTTTTCAAGAGTAAATTTCAAAAAGAATAATTTTGCACCCAAGGTACGGTGTGTGATGGTAAGTTTCCAAGTACAAGATGTCAAATTTTCATTAAAATTGAAACTGCAGGTCAAAAGTTCAACTGCATCAAAACCCCAGACCCACTAGACCTATGAAGGAGCCATACAGCGGGGAAATCCCAAAGTGGGCATTTGGAAAGAAGCTTCTGATTTTACCTTTTCCAAGGTGAAGAACATAAAAAAAACATTAGCTTAGCTCAGAACCAAATAAAGTAAAGAACATGCAACCTTTCTCATCATACTATCCACAGCCATTTCTGCCAAAGCTAAAAGATTATTGCTAGTAACACTGAAAATAAACAGGGTGATAAGCTCCAAGTCAAGTTACTTAACACTGCCATCTAAACAGCAGTCTTTTCCTTAGACAAGAAACACAGAAAGTTAAAAAAAAATATATGTTTTAATGTATGTAATGTATTTAAATGTATGTAAATACAGAATAATACATTAAACACACCACATAAGGAAAAAGAGTGGACGACCATAGATCTATGATTTTCTTAAACATCTAAAGAGGCACAGATATCCTGTCATGTGGTTTTGTTCATTCTTGCTGGAGGGAATAAATTATACCAGTATTCAGATTGTTCTACAGTTATCCAGAATGAAATACCACTTTGAGAACATAATATTTTGGAAGTATTTAATAAAATGCAAGATCATTTAGTTCAACTTCTGTCAAAGTGACCTGTGACATATTATTAAACCCATAATAATAAGCATTTTTCCCATCAGTGTACTGGGAACTTAAAATTGCTTTGTTTTGGTTCAAGATAACAAACCAGACATATTTGGAAAGAAAACACTAGGTTGGGCTGTTATTCACATTAATAACCATCCAAAAATATAGTTTCCATCAAGGAAAAGAGATTAACAAAGGAAACACTACCAAAAGAACAGGATGCTGAATCTCAGTGACTGCTATAGTATTTAGTCTAATCTTAGCAGTAAGTTGTATCTCTACTGTGGGTGAAGGTAAGTGGTTTACAGAGAGGTGTTAAGAGGAATTAATCCACTCTAGTATCCCACTCAGCAAGATTAATTTGTTAACCTGAAAGCATGGTCTAGACTTCTGGTAAGACTTTGACACTCTTAATTCTTAGGTTAGAAGAGGCTGAACGCTGCTGATCAGCAGTGGGGTACAGAGCCTGCACAGTACAACAGGCCTTCCTGGTGGTATAACCACTAGGTGAAACACTGCAAAAACAGGCCTTGGCAGCATCACACCACTTCACTGTTCTGCTGCTTTCTCTCACTATCAAAGAGATGATTTTCAAGCTGTTGTTGTTTTTGGTTTTTTTTCTCCTTTGCACATGCATAAGTAAAGGTATGTGCAGAAAAGACACGGAATACAGCGAGCGTCTGGTGTTCTACTCTAACAGAAGTTATCCCATTTGAACTAGAGATTAAAACCACTAAATCTCTAATGAAAAGACGGGACAGTTCTTTATTCTACCAATGCACCGATTATTATGAAGGGGAATAAACACCACAATAGAAGTATATTTATTTAGATGCATTCACCCTACCACCTCCGTTTTGTGTGTGTTTCAGTAAGTACATCAGTCACTTCTTCAGCTGTCAGTAAGAGGTACACCCAGAATTGCTACACTTGATAGAAAAAAAGGGTTAGGAGTATTGGTCCCTCCCTTAAGCCTTGATAACCATCTTGGAAGTGATTAGGTACAACAGGCTTGCATCCTGCAGCACTCTGGAGGTGTCCTCGAATTGACACTGGGCAGGGTTTAAACCGAGCTACAAACACAGCTGCTATCCAAACTATCTCGTGAACTCATCTCCTGCACTTGGCAAGTTACTCTAAGTGCATTGGCAGTAATGCTAACCCGAATAATCCAAAAACCTACAGCAACCTCCTCGGCCAGCCCATTGGAGAGAGCCACTTCACGGGGGCCGCACTCTCTTTAGAGTCGAAGCCATCAATAACTGAAGTAATTTCAGTTATATATCCAGTCATTTCTCCTCCTGATTTCAGTGAAAGACCTCGGGAAGAGCAGGGGAGCACTTGTGGAGGGTGCATGGTGGTATTTAGTACCAAAAGCCATGTACGGACAGCAGAAGTTCTCTGGAGGAGAGCACAGGACGCTTGCCTGATGCTACGAAACCCTCTTCCTTCCAAAATCCCTGCAGTTTTAACTGAGTTACGACCCGCACAAACCACGACTGCCAGCACAGCCACACATCGAAGCCCAATAAATCCCCCCAAACGCTAGGGCAGGCTCCAGGCAGGGCCGGAGCAGCAGGGGCAGGGGCTGCCGGCTGCCCCCAGCTCGCTGTGCCCCACGCGCTCCCCATCTCGGGGGAGGCAGCGCCCACCCGCCCCTCGGCGCACCCCCCGCGCCGCCACGACGAGGCAGCCCCCGGCCCTCCCGCCTCCCTGCCCGCCCGGGGCCGCGGCCAGCGGGGCTGCCCGGGGGCTGTTGCCTTACCAGCGAGCCCCGGGACCGCCCGCAGCGGCTGCCACCAGCCGCCGGCCCCCCGCAGCCCCCGCGCCGCGCCCATGGCCGCCATGGCGCAGGAGCGCGCATGCGGCGGCGGGCACCAAATGGCGGCTGCGCCTGGGGCCCGCGGCTCCTGGCAGCCTCGGCGGGGCGGGATGGGGCCGCCCGGCACGGAGGCACGGCCGGGCAGGGCGCTGCGAGGCCCTCGGCTCTCCTGCGCCGACACGGGGTGGGCTCGGGTAGCAGGTGCCCAGCCTGGGGAACGATCGGGCCCCCGGGCAGGGGTGGAGGCAAAACGCGCCGGGCTGCCATAGGGGGGTGGGGGCTCCGGCCCTCGAGTCACGCCCGAGACAAATATTAGGTGAAGAGGAAGGCCCTCTTCACCTAATATTTGTCTCGGGGCTGGTGATACGTTCTTGGAAGGATCATAAAAATGGGGACAGTGTTACATAAGTATGTATGCATGTAATACGTACATGTACACCACAATCCACCCTCATAACTTCACTGCCACCTAAGAGTTTATATTCCATAGCTCTTCTGTGGGGACATACATGGAACATGCAGATTTTTAAAGCACAAGATTTCTTTTACAAGCTTACACAAGACAAGCAGAAACACACCACCATAAGGAATCGAGTGACTGTTTAAAACAAGTGTATTTTTAAAAACGTTTATTGAAATGCCTTCATCGCATCATGCAGGATACAAAAATCATGATTAGAAAACCTTTATAACCATACTTAGAATTAAAATCAAGATACATCAGGGAAAAAAAATAATAATTATATAAAACAAAGCAGTTCATTTCTGATAGTGTTTTAAATCATTAGATTACAAGCTGTGATCTGCACAGATGATACCAATTACCTTGCAGCAACCCTTCCTTCTTTCTTTCGTGATTCAAGTCAAAACTGACACGTCATGCTAAAGTAACCATATCACCTGTGTAAGCCACAAAGAAGAATTCATCCCATTTGTTACAGATACAGGGTTTAAATAGGATAACAACAATATTTTGCCAGCATACTTCTCTTCTGCTTACAGTTTTTAATTTGCTCCACAAAAGCCATTAACTTTCCATCAAGAAAAAAGTTGAATGGGCTTTTTTTTTTTTATTACACAAGCCACATGGCACAAGTTTTGATTACTGAAATAAAACCTCTTTAAAGTCGGAGCATAAGAGACGTTCTTGAAGTTCAGTTCAATTAAATAATTGAGGTTTTGCGATATTACTGAAGGACTCGGATGTGATTCTTGATTCTAAAACAGGAGACCACAGTACCCTCAATTTTTGGATTTTCATTGTTTTAGGAGTCCATAAACCCCTGCTACTTAATATATTCAGGGTTTTTATTCATACACTGCTTAGTGTAAACTCTTAGCAATTTGTCAGATTATATCTGTCAGCATTATTCTGCACAGATATGTTTTTAAAATGTCTCCTAGGCTGAAAACTTGGTTTCAAAGAGTTTAGATACGTAGATACTTTGGTGCTGGCTTCATGGGGACCAAAGTTTGCGAGGTTTCAGTAGAGCATTTACTTGGCACCAAGTAAGATTTGAACCACATTAGATGGGACCTGACTACATAAAAGGAAATTGCTGCAGGATCCAGAATCAGCTCATTCTATTTGATGTGGAGGATTAAAAAAAAAAAAGTCCTCCCGATGACAAAATTAATACACGTTTCCATTTCATAGCCTTGTGGATAAGTCCCATCTTTATAAAGCTGTCCTTCTCTTTTTTGTTGAGCTCCATAAATACAGACTTGAAACACACAGTTGGTATCACTGTGTGATTAAACACACAGAATATTGTAAGATTTAATTACTTCAAAAATCATGAAGAGTTTTGGCACTGTCTCCTTACAGAACGTTAAGTACAACTAACACTTTGAAACATTACAGTAAGGGAGTCATATAACTCTTTGGCTCTGTTGTAATACTTAGCTACTAAGGCAAGAATTGTGTGTACCTTAGGGCTGCTTTTTATTTATACTTTTATAAAATACTTGACTAAAAGTTTTAAAAAGTTACCTAATCATCTATAAATGTCAAATGCTGCATATTAAAATATATGCTATTCTGCTTTTTTGTTCCATTACTAGGATTTTTGCATACTGATGAGAACACACATATTTGTAAACTTTATGTAGACGTTCTCTGCATAAGAGAATTTGTACAAAATGATCACTGAATCAAGATGTTGTAATTTAAGTTGCCTGATTATTCATTTTGGAGCCCTATGATTTTCTCAACAGCTTCAGCTCTTTTGCTTCTATAAAGATCAATTAAAATAAGTAACAAGTCCCCCTTTCAATGCATTTATAAAACTCTTTCATTCTCAGGTTTTGGGTGCACATCATAAGGAGGATATATCAGAATATTCACTGGTATTTTATGCAGCTTTTCAGATTTTACTACATATGGCTAACTTCATATGTTCTGTTATTGCAGTATGCCCTATTGCCCCATTTTCTTATAACATGAAGTGGGTGTAGCCTTCTGCGCCTGTAACAATAACATCCATCCATATCCTCATGGCTTCTGGCGTAGGAGCAACCATATAGTATATCCGGTCAGTGTGTCTTAACACTGAAAGTGAGTAGTGGGTTGGGACTCTAAAATAAAGCAAAAAGAAGCATAAAGAAGGATGTCGAAAGAATGAAAAATCAGAGCTATTTATTAGAGCCAGGAATATCATTACTTATGGGGAGATTCAGAATGTTATTTAGGGTTAGGGAGAAAGATAAAAATGCGAAATTTGGAAGCACTGCATCCAACATTGCAGCACTGGGGACAGAGATGCATTTAAAGTATTTGTATCCAGAATCAACACTTTTAATGACATATTTTCAGGAGACTATTACACAACCATTGCCTCCAGATTGTTGCTTCATGCCCAAACAATTACCTCCCCTTGAGCAGGTATTATGTCCAGCTTTCACAAGTCCATGTGCCAAGGACAAGTCCATGTGCCAAGGACATATTCAGGTCATCTCCATTATATATGGGACAGGGGCTGCCATCAGCTGCAAGTAGCAACTAACTCACTCCTTATGACAGATGCCTACAGCCATCTCGTGATTTACCAAAGCCACTGATGTTAGTGATCTTGCCTGTGGACTAAGGCAGTCCTCACAGCAAATGCCATGGGGGGCCATCTCCGCTTTCATCAGTGTAAAATAACAGTGCTAATGGCTACTCTGGCTTCATCTTCCTTTTCTTCCACCCTGTTTTTGTTTTGTTTGTTTTTAAATAATGTTAGCTCTCCCTTTAACTTTATAGCAGCTAGCATACTTCGGGTACTGCCATATAATATTTAGTTAAAAAAAATTACCTTATATGCATTCTTTAGATGATCATAATAGACTTCTTCAATAGCTTGAAAATAAATTACACCTTTTAATTTAGTTTCATGTTTGTCTGAAATGGAAAAGGGAAAGTTACATTTTAAAACTGAAATGAACAGCACTTGAAGAAGCAAAACGCAAATTTGCATTTCTATATATGTTCAGCAGATTAAGTTACTAGATTAACACTTCTGCTTGCAAAATCTCCCCAGAAATTTTCAGTTGGATGGTTGAGTTAAAAGAGATGTATTTCCTACTTTAATTTGCCTTCTTCTCTGACTTGTTTCCAAGGAAATAAGGCTTTTGTAATTTTCTCATGTGTTTTTAAGTCAGTACTTCACTGAAGCATTTAAACCTTTTGTCCAGCATTAGCTAACATGGGGAAGAGATGTCTCTGAGATAAACCCAATCTTCCAATTACATGAAAACCAGCCACACTTCAGATATTGCTAAAGTACTACAACATAGCTAGCAGCTTAAGACCCACAGTTTTCCTTCAAAGAAAATTATGAAAAATAATTTTGAAATACAGTTTGACAGCAAAAGCTTTACATTAGAATATCATTTGTGCTTATACTTATTTACAAATGCTTCCTCCTGTTCATAGTTATCTCCCATAGTGTTAAGCTAACACTTAATATTCAAATATAAGGTTACCGGGTCATGGGCAAGTTTCTGTGAGCTCTGAGGCATGAAAAAGTTTACAAGAGGTCAGAGTTCCTGTACACCAGCCTCAGCATTGTAATTGTGAACATTTTCCTACTCTGTGACACCCAAGGTAAAAGCCAAATTAATTATCCATCATTTGCCCCTTTTGCTAAAGGGGCCCTTCCAAAGCAAAGACCCTCTGCAGAGAAGTGCCAGAAGTAATGACAACTGAACGGACAGTTACTTGAGAGAGGCTGTTCATAAGCAGTAGCTTGTACCCAGGGGAGTTGTGTTTGTGGCACCAACATCCTACTGCAGCAAAGCTGAAATAAAGCCTGGGAATGTTCTCGCTTCAGTTCTGATATCTACACATTTGACACAGCTGACAACTTCCCTTGAAAGGAAATGGAAAGAAGTGGGCACATGCGGGGTGTCAATTCTAAACTATTTTAGGTATCTACTTGCAAGAGATCTCATATATGAAGTTCCAGCCTAAGAATCCAAGAAAAGTTTCAAATCATCTTTAGCTCTTATTAGGACATTCTAAAAAGAAAAAGTTTAAGAAGGTTGATTTTCCATATGGCCTGCACATGGCCTCTCATTTGGCATTCTTTATTTTTTTTTTTTTATGCAGACCCAATCAGAGAAGACAGACGAAGTATGACAGTGTGTTGTATCTAGAAAGGAGGCTGAATTAAAAAAAGAATTTGAAGTCTGGCTTTACATATAATTGGTGCCTTAATGCATGACAGAGAACAGTCCACATGGGCCATTAGAGCACAACGTGCTTACCTTCTGACCCAGCATCAGCTAGTGATTCACTGGGGCAAGGAGAATACAGACCGTAAACTTAGCACTCAACTGTAACATTTCACAAGAAAAAGGAACAAAGACAGATAAGCATCTGAAATATCCTACTACTTTCCTGCAATGTTAAAGAATCCCAGGGGATGTTACAGAAAATGAGAACTGCATGTGATACTGAAGGGCAAACTTCTTCCAGTACTCTTGTATTGGGGAATATAATACCTTTGACCTCAAGTTAGTATCACCTCAACAATAGTTATCTAAACAGACATGTTTGACAAACGGAACATCTTAGTCTCATGAGAGATTCTGCTGCTGTTTTCAATTCTTATGACCTCAGCTTACATCCTATCAGTAGATGCAGTCAGTTTCCAACGTGTCAGATGATGGCAAAAAGAAATCCCATAGACGAAATGATGTTGTGTTGGGAATCTCCCTGCCAGCCCATAGGGGACCAGTAGACGTATAAGATTACTACATTACAGCACATGCTATACAGAGCCAAATACAATACTATACAGCAAAGTATACTGTCTATGTACAATATTTTCAGATTTTAGGATAAGTTCTTCAGTTTAGTAGATCTGCAGAACTAAAGCAATATACCAGTATATTCATCTTAGAGTTTATTTTTGTCTGAACGTAGAGTACCAGAATTTATTTTGGAAGTTACTATATATTTAGAGATCTGGACAGATCCTCAATCATGCAGGCAGCTGCAGTTTTGCTCAGCTCTTAAAGAATTCTCATGAAACTGTTTGTTGGCTGTAGTCCTTGAGACATTATGAAAAGTTTTCTTTGGTAATTAAAATGCATTATGGCAGCTGTACTGCACTCAAAACCAAAACTGTTAACTAGCAACACAACTACTTTAAAAAGAAATAAAAAATCAGTACCAGATGGGGACACTACTGTATGTTACAGGCCTCGCTAACCAATAAACCAGATGTTAAGAACAAAGTAAAAAAGAACGTTTGCTTCTCACATTCTTCACAGTATTATTGCAAACTAGTAAGAAATAGCCATTTGATATGTAATGAACTCAAATAATGTATTCTAAAAGGATGGACCGAGCAATGTCCACCATCAATTTTAAGTTCCTCACGACTTTCTGGAAAGTAGTTATGTCATAACAAGAAAGGGAACAGTTTGAGCTTTTTGGTACCGGATGTTTTCTTCTGCTTCTTAGCAATTACCATCTCCTATTGCCCTTGCCTGGCCTTTCCTAACAATAAAAATTCACAATGCAAAATCATTTTTCTGGCTTCCTCTGAAACTTGAAAGTCAAACTATGTATAGATTTGCACAGCTATCTAGACATAGAAATTCTTAAATTCCTAATTTCTGGTTTTGACCTGAGATAACAACGTATTGGTTGTAATGGCTCCAGATATCATATTATAACACACTGTTGTCTACAGAAAATTCTTTTGAGTATTACATGTTGTCCATTTTGAAATTTCTTAGACTCTCAGAATATGTCAAATGCAAAAGTCTACTTCTCTGTATTAAATATTCTGAAACACTTTTCAGTACATCAAGTGATAGGACTCCAGAAGCATTCCATTTCATGTTTATGATAAGTATCATAAATTTTACTCTTTTATGATGGGTACAAGAAATTGTTCTGTCACTGATTGAAGTATGTCATATTTAAAAATAAATTAGGTGGATTCTATGTACTAGAAACGTTTCCTTTCCTTTTCCTTGTCCACATCTCCCTTCATCTGTTATGCACTGCCGTGTCCTTTCTGACATTAGGATTAAACAGTAGGGAAGAGATTGCATCGATCCCGAGGGTATATGTAAAATACTAAATAAAATGGAACTGTAAGCTTTACTTGGGACTCACTACATCTTCATAACTCAACCAAGTTCACAGGAAAATAAGAGGGACAGATATAGCCTAACAGTGATCCTGCAACCTACCTGCATAGTATGTAAAAGTTCTCTTGTTTCTGTCAAAAACAAACCATCGTTTTTTCCATGTCTTAATTTTCCCTCCCATCTTAATCAGAAAGCCTCGGCAGGTCTTCTCCGTAAGGGAGACATGGTAACAGGTCTCTATGTTATGACCAGCTGTTTCAATGTGACTTCGCAGATCAAAGTCTTCCTTTCTAATGGGCAAATAGCGAGTCAAGGGACGGGCCTGTAAGAAAGAAAATGAGATCATTATTTTAACATAAATCTCAACTTCTCTTTCACTGCTTCTGCTACGAGGTCATAATTGCAAACAGCCCGTAGATTCTAAAATGATGGTAACAAAAATAAACAAGTTTTGCTGCAGCCATTGTTTTCTTTGTATTAAAGATCCTTAAAAATTACTTTTACAAAGTTTATGCACCTTGATAGAAGTGAAATTAGAGCATGGGATCTTCTTGAAATCATCAGTTGATGAGCTGGAAAAACAGGGGCCGCAGCACAGACAAGTTGTTATAGAACTGAAACATGAATTGAATGTGAAAACAATGTTGCTGCTTTAGATGAAGCATAAGAACTTGATGTTAAGCAAACCCTTTACTTTTCTGGGCTAGATATAAACTACGCATATCTAACTAATATTTTATTGTTACATGTATATTAATGAAAAATAAAAATAAAAAAGTCATGCTATTATCCAAAAATTAGGTAGAAATAGTGAACTGTGACCCTTATTTTGTTTTACAAAGGTTGTGGTAAATAAAATGGAATTACTTATGAACTAACTAATTACACATGGTATCTGGTTCACAATCAGCAATGCAGCACAGAGAGCTGAAGCACATCCCTCTGCAAGAGACAGCTGAGCAGCACAGGAAACAGTGCCTCATTCTTGATCCCAGTTCAGGACTAAGTCTGCATCAAGCCAAATAGGATAAGTTGGGAGAACAAGTAGGAGTGATGTAGGACCTCTGCCAGCTAAAGGGAGCATGCCTATTTCCTATGCCTGAAGGGATCTAGGCACAAAACCTCATTTTAAATGTAGAAAACATGTCCCCCAAGGCTCCTGCTGCACCCAGTGCTACAACACAGGGCTATTCAGAACTGAAGCCTAATTTAGGTGGCTCTGAATGACCTGTGAAAGGAGTATTTCCTTCCTCCATTTCTTTTTTTTCCCTGTCTCTCTGTACACTGACTTCAGAGAACCTGGAGAATCTAATCTGCCCCTGCACCATGCCTAAAGTTAGCCTTTTAAATACCACTGTGAGTCACAAATCTAAGGGACTTTCTCTCATTGCATTCTCAAGAATCTCTTCGTGCAATGAGAGCTATGTTGCCTGCAACAGCTCTTAACACCCTTCTAAAATTATGCAGTCCTGTATGATACAAGCTGGAACTAGCTTTGGCAAGTGCAAAGATGGAGTTCCTTCCTCTAGTTGACATTTCTTAGTGTCAGGAAGTACTGGAGAAAAAAAAAAGTCTTGAAATTGGGTCTAGCAATACAAAGGAAAGAAAAAAGTTAATAAAAAAAATTGTTGTTCTTTCTGAAAGATATGTTTTGTCTTCCTGCCAATTCAGTCTTCAGCCTCTGCTAAGTCTGCCAACTAGCAGTAACCGATAGGGCATTTTGTTACAACACATCCACGCTCCAATTTCACATAAGCATGGCATTGTTGTTTATGCCATACTTGAGTTGTCATTAAAATTTCATAGACACAAAGAAGGTATTCAATTGAAGTACACATACCATTTAACTTTTTTTTTTTCACTTTATTGTGAAAACAAAGAAATAAGTATGCTTAGGGAGAAACAGCCTAAAGTTCCACTGAAGTTGCCCTAGTGTTATCCATCAAAAAGGCCAATAATACATATATAATAGTAATTAATAAAAAGATTTAGCAAAAGTAGCATAGATAAATGCATGTATATATCAAATGAGATATGGAATCTTCTGCATTCATACAAACGTAACTTAGATGGAAGTCTTACTATACCAACTTACTGTCTTACCATACTAACAATAAAATGACTGCCTAGTCTATTTGCTGTACCATGTAGATCTCATTAGTTGTGGTGGAATAAACAAGTAGGTAAGACCTCTAAACTTGAAGAAAGCTCAAGATACATCCTAACAAAAAACAAAGACGATATCAGAGATGATGTCCTAATCTAATCTAAATAATGTTAGTTATCTAACTAAATAATGTTTCTCATGTTGCATAGTCCCAGTAACAACAGAGAAAATATTGTTTCCTTTCCAGAGTAGATATGGAGATTAAAATTTTTTTTTATCTGTTGGTCGTTTTTTTTTTTTCAGTCAAATATTTGGGAAGTGAATATTCACATTCCAAAATACTGTATGTATTAAAAGAAAGAAGACAACAACACTGTTTATAAAATTAACAGTCTCACAAATTTCTATTGTTCAGGCCAAAAACAAAACAAAACAAAAAAACCCCTGCTCTGCCCCTGCTCAGTAACAAACCTTAAAGGATTAACATTTATACTTCAGGTATAAAATGCTGAAGAGACCTAGGCTATTATTCAGATCTAAACAAACACCCAGACATCTAAGTTTCTCATCAGAGCCCAAACATGCTTTTGATGACACAATTACACCTCAGAAATACTAAATCCATCCCTTTAACTGGAAATAGCTCTGTTTATCATTTGCAGAAGTAGACTTGCTTCCTCTATCCATAAGGAGTCTAGCATCGAAAAACATTTCATGCCAATGCATCTCACCTGTGCTCTTTGTTTCTCACGTATCTTGACCTCCTTTTCAATTAGTTTTTGCCTCTGGCTAGTTTCTTCTTCCAATCTTTTTTCCAGTTGCTCTCTGCGGCGTTTCTCTTCTTCCAGAGCACGTTTTTTAGCTTCCATCTCCCGTTCCTAAATACCACAGCACATGAAGGGCAATTATGTGTGAAACTATAGTTGATGCGTAATTTCTAGCTAGGACTAAATCTCTTTTTGCCTCTTTGGCAGGCAGAAATATATATCCAGCACAGTGGACTGAGAATTCAATTCAGATTGGCAAACACTACCACTCTAGAAATGAAGGTTCTTCATAAGTAACTCTCATAGCAGTTGTAGGAGCAATGCTGATTAGCTTCTGATGGGATTTTGCCCTCAACTCACCCACTGAAATAGCAGTCACCACACATGGGCTCCAAGATGCACCATGAGAGTGAAACCAGACTGAACTCTAGACGGAGAGGCAAAGTCTTAAGTCTCAATTAGATGTAAACTATTTAGGGTCCAATATTGCATTTAGGAGGGTATTACCTAACTTACATGCCCACTCTTATTTTTACTCATAAAATTATGTTTTACCCTGGACTCAAGCAGCCTAGTCTTTTCAGCATGTGCTTGTTTCAGAAGTCTCTCCATCTCTTCTATTCTTGCAACATTTGAAGTGCTAGCACTGTACAAAACAAACAAACAAAACAAACAACAAAAAAAAACCACAATGAAACAGTTACTTAAAAGAATACTTGATATTTAAAGCCTTATTTTACAGTCCAACATTTGACAGTTTAAGAGTTGAGTTGATACTGTTCCGATCCAATTCACTGCAGTAGCCTCATGTCATAAAAACGACACAAAATACACTGATACACTGAATGCATATATTCCCCATGTACAGTTGTGAAAAAATCAGACTCAGGTACCTAAAAATGCATCTTGTCAGTCCTCTATGATCCATCATAATCTCTCAGATAACAGAATATGGCAGCAGTTACCATGTCCTCACAGAACACACCACTGATTCTGAGAGGTGGCATAAGTAGTTATCTAAATACACCATTTAGGCCTTTCTAGGCCATGAACTATCTGTTTAGATGGAGGATTTAAGCAGGATTTAGATGGAGGTTGTAAGGATTATTAAGAAGTATCTGTAAAAAACATTCACATTCAGTCACAGAGCAGCGTCAAATAATGCCTACTGGTTAACATAACTGGCAAGCCAAAGAAACAAGTAATGACAAAGAGTGATAGATCCTGGCCCACCACAACACAGCTGTCACACCATTGCCTGTCTTTTTGAATCTATTTTGCAATAGAAGGGTACTCAGATGACACTTCTTCACTTTCAGCTAGCTATCTGAGGTGGTGTCATTTCTGCATCTTAGACGCAAACACTCTGCTGGGATAAGGATCTCATTCTCATGGTGAGGGACAGAGCAAAGGGATCTTAACATGTAGTTGATAAACAAGTTTACAGCACGCTAAACAGACCTACTGTGTTTCTGGCCTCATCTGAGGGGATATTTCTCCCAAAAAAATCTCTTTTTAGAGATTTACTGTACCCACTTGCTTGGTATATCCCATATATATATATATATATATATACACACTATATATCCCAACTTAATGTAAGAATCAACTGTTCCTTTAAGCAAACTTATATTTGCCTCAAAGCGTGATAGGTACTTGGTGTGGAGAACATCTTTTCTGCCCTTTGCCCTTCACAGTGATATTTTGCTTCTAGCATAGGCATCTTAATCTTTAAGGATTTTACAACACTCTTGTAATTACTAATCCAGACAAGCCCATAATGAAGGGGTGATTTTCTGCTTCATATGATCTGTCAGTATTTTAATCTGTTGAGTACACTTCCACATGCCTTGGCAGATACTCGTTCCATGATACGGAGGTCACTCTTTGTACGTTCTGAGAAGGTGCTACCATCTCACCCCTAGCTCCCATAACGAGATACCTAACTGGGAGAGGAAGTATTCTCTTAAGATACTCTGCTAACACTCCAGTTATTATTGAAAAGCTCAGCCAAATTGCATTTTTTCTCTTGCAAAGGGTGCCTCACTATCTGGTGCCTGATAGGCAGCCAACAAGCAATACCATGTTTCTTTCTTCAAATACAGTTTCTTTGTTTCATCTCAATTTAACAGCCATTTCAACTGAGGCATTTTCATGCCTCTCTACTTTATTTTTCATCTTATGATATTCAGGCAAAACATTTAACACTGTATTACCATTACTGATGCCACTAGACATTATGAGGAAATTGAACGTATCCAAATGTTCAGGGCAGAGAGACACTTGACCTAGGATTATCCTGAAAATACTAACTGATCACCCTAGTGGAAGTAGGTGTTAGGTGGCAGGTTTATTCCTGCTACTCAATAGCACACAGACCAACTGTGAAGGGACTGTTGCAGAATGGAAATTCAAGCATGTGTCCTGGGCAAGGGATAAAAAAACAAAAACAAAAAACAAACATGACATACTGACAAATTTAGCTTTCTGAATATGCCTCAGGTGGTCTGTAAGACCAGGAGCATTGTCACAAGTATGAAGTCTTCAGAAGACATTTCTCTGTCTCATACTGAGGATGTGCATCGTGAGAGGAGACAGTACAATACAAAATAACTCCCTTAACCCATGCTTGCAGAGAAAGTATAATCCATCTGAAATCTAAGCTGTAAAAAAACTTGTCTCTGAAAAAAAAAAAAAAAAAAAAAAAAAAAAGGCCACTGACTTAGATTGACTTAGATATCTAAACCTAAGTTTGGCCAAAGTATGTTTAGTAGATGTGACTAGCAAATCTGGCTCAAAGAACTTCCATAAAAGCAACAGAGCCATACTTAAGTCATTTCAGCAACCTGGAATTTGGTTAATTGCAGTAGGTTTTCCCCTATAAAACCAGTTAATACTTCGGCTTAGTTCAATTCTTTCACCCTTGATTTGTTTAGCACTGCAGAGATGAGTTAACTGATGAGATTGTCCAGCTATCAGAAACTAGCTATGTATGTAAAACAAAACTACTCAGAACCTGAGTCCTAATGCTTTACAATTAAGCTAACAAACAGACAACAACAACAAAAAACAGACAGTCCCATACCAACGCCACTAGTATTTTCTAAAATCCTTGACATTGCTGTGGTGAACGCTACAGGAGGAAATTAGAAGGCTGGTAACCTGTTACAGGAAACAGATGTTGAATAAAACACAACATGCTACCCAGAAAAGCTGTCCTTGCATTCAACAAGAGGTTCTTAATCCCTTAATCATGTTGTATTTAATTATCAGCCTCTGATGATGCTTGTGAACCTACTGGGGCAAGACTATGCACAGAAGTGAAAGTACCATTATTAAAACCAGACTGTCAGAAGAAAAGTGTTTTCACACGATTTTCAGACTTAGCTGGACTTGTTTTTTTTTTTTTTTTTTTTTAAACAGGTCACTGATGTTTGTTTTAATTGCAGTTTCTGAGCTGACAGTCTCTGAAGAGAAGAAAAGCAGCTGAGGGCTACTAAGCCTTTCAGAATCATCTCTTCATTTCTACTGACCCAGAAATGGGAGGCAAAAGAGCAAAAAGGATTGCCAGAGGACTCCCCAGCATTTTGGCATTAAGTATCAGCATTATTTCAGCATTAAGCGTAAGCATTAAGTATCTAGCAAGTTAACATGCTGGACATACAGAACGAATGTACTTCATCACACGCAGGTATCTCAAGAGATATTTCCTATCACAGGAAACCTGTAACAACTAGGGAAGGAAGCTCAGGAATTATGCCACTCTGAAAAGAGCATCAGAATTTCAGTTCGGAACTGACATTGATTTCTATGTGGCTTTCAACATAACGTTTAGCTTCTCCATATTTTTATTTTCCATCTTTATTTAAACAGATGAGATGATAGTCAAACTTGATGATGAAGGGCTACACAAAATACCAGGTATTACACCTGTCTAATGATCTTACATTTTCTTAACCAGTTAGCAGCATTCACATTACCATAGCGTCAACATTCACGCATTCCCTTTGTTGTTATAACCCTACAACCATTACAGCATCAGAAATGAAGGTTATTTACCTGGAAATGTTATCTGGTGAACATGCTGATATGCTTGTCTCCATACTGTCCGAACTGTCCAAGCTTAATGAATCAAAAGCATGGTCCTTGTAGCTACGATCTGGGTAATGGAAGCTATTCAAATACACATTAGATTCGGATGCTGTTCTGCTGTAGAATTCAGGAGATTTCTGCCTTTGGTTTTCACACATACGTTGATGGTTATACCCTACAGAGTACAGAGGAAACATCTGTGTTATGCAGAAATTCTGTGACTTGAGCATGATGTGTTAACAGCAAGAGCATTTTGATTATCAGCTCAGACTTAACTGCTCTGTGACCACAGTACTAGAAAAATAATTTAATAAATGAATCATAGCTGAACATCTTTAAATACCTGTTTTATCTATGACAGACACAAATATATGCAGATTAGTATAACTGCCTTTTCACATGTATTATTGTACTTGTATTAGGAAGACTGAACACACAAATTAGACCTATTCGCCAAAGCAATATAGCTGAATTCAGGGATCTAAGATAATAACTACTGATTTTTCATTATTATTATTGTTATTTTTAAACAAAACAATACTCTTGATTATCAAAGATCTTAAATACTTATTTGGTTGTTTTTACTGAACATAGATTATTTTTTGTGTGTTTGAGGAACTTTGGGTTCCAGTAAAGCGCAGGCTGAGCTTGCTTGATGTAGAGAAGAGAATAAGAGACTGTTGGCATTTTAATTGCTGAAGCTTTTACAACACGTTTTAAGTTTGTTTGTTTGTTTTTAGTCTGATTATGAATGCAGCTTCATTGCTTGTCCTTTCCTTGAGTCCATGCAAGAAGTAACTGCTTCCTCACAGCTTTGATGCTCAGTCAAGTTTATAATACTCTCTGCACAATCCTGACCCAAAATGTGAGCTGGTGGCAAAGTTGGAGACTAGAGTGACTGTTACGCTAAATGAAAATCTCCCTTTCAGACAGGAAACCAGATATTTAAGATAATACAGAAGCATGGGAAAAGTATTGACAAACAGTACTAAGCTCACATCAAAATTTTGACTAGACACCATCAAGACACCGTTGTTAGGAAAACTCACTAGTGGGAATATTCTCCTGCCTTATTCTCTACCTGCACTTACATGGCTACTGTCTGCTGTTTTCTTGGATATGTCAGTCAGGTGAATTTCATTTCGGAGAGTCAACTAATGCAGCTCTACCTTAGAAAGGCTATACTATTCTCCAAAAGGTGTATGAAAAGCATGACTAAGGCTGCATAATTAGAGCATATTATTAAGGATCAAGCCCTCCAAGCATCTCCAAGGCAGATAAATTGTTTCCTCTCCCATCCCCATTTCACTTCCCTCTGCACAATACAAAGACTTCTTTGTAGACAATTAATGCTGGTTTCCAAGGAACTAATAGAATCGTACTTGCCACTTGAAAGAACGCTACATTTCAATAAAAGTTCAATTGCTCTGATTAGTACAGGAGACAAAAAGGATACAGATGCACTTCAGCATTTACAGATAATAGCATCACACAACACAGATGTTACTGATTTACATGTGCAGTCTGTTTTCTTCCCTTTATTATGGCAAATGCTGCCGTTATTGTAGATACACAATTACCTTTCATACTCGAACCTTTGGAATGACTAATTGCTCCTGCGAAATGGTTTTCAATTATTCATTATGGAAAAAGAGAAAAAATAAATTACTGAAAGAAACTGCATTTACATGAATGTTTTTCTATGGAGCCTGTTTGCAAAAGCTGGGCTACTCAGAAATGTTAGTTTCATATCTTGCACTTGACTGAAAAATAAACCCATCTGAAAGGTACAGAGGAACATACCGGCTTTACGAATACTTTCCAAAAGGAAACTCAACTTTTTATGAAGATGAAGTTAAGTACCCATTTTTAAGTAAAACATTTGTCAGTTATATTTATGCAATCATGCAAATGTAACTAAACACTGCAAGGCATGTCTCTCTCTCTATATATACACTACAGCAGTATGGTTGCAAAATTATGTGCACTCGCAGAAGCAAAGCATAATGTGATGCTCTCATTTGCTCCTTGTGCCTTAAGCAACAGGCAGTTCACAGCTCAGGATCAGCTGTTATACAACATGAAGATGCCTCTCAAGCAACACATTTCCATTCCCAATTCACACATCACACAGGGAAAATTGATTTGTTAAAGTATTATTAACTGCTCAGGTACCTATTCACAGCACATGCAATTATAAAAGATTCAACTCCTTGTAAGATCCACTAAAAGTTTCCCACAAGCAAACAACACAAGTCTAAGCTAATACAGGAGCTAAAATGTTTCCCATTGCATCGGTTTGTATTCTCCTTAGTAAAATAAACTTGACTGTTAATAGACAGACTGTTCAGCAAAATATTACAATATTCATAAAGCCACAGCATCCAAAAAATCCAAAGGAGTTGTCATAGAATCCCCCCCCAAAAAACAAATATATCACCACAAAATTATAGAGAGGTCAAAGTTATAGGAGAAAAGCTGTTATTAAAAGCAGCACTGTCAAGCACATCAAGAAGCAGTACTTCAAAAAAAAAAAAAGTCTTGGTATAACATATTCTTTAATTTCCATTATTACTTTTTTTTCTCTCCTTGAATGTTGAAATTAATGTGTCAAAATATATTTTTTTTTGTATGAAAACATGCCAAACTAGGAAGCCCATGTCTACCTTGTCATTGTCACCCACAGATCTGCAAAGACTTCCAAATTTTCTGCTCTACTTGTTTGGCTATGAGCAAAGAAGCAAAAAAAATAGGCCTGCACAAAGCTGCAGCTCTGCAGTCATTAGCATTAACCAGAAGTTTTGTTGTGACAGTTTGACAGGAGGAACAAGACTTTTTGAAGTACTATCATTATTTTACAATTTATTTTTTTTTTAATCTAAGATTTCAGAAATTACTTGACAGTACTGATGAAATCAGTACTTTTGCCAAAAAACAACGACAGGCACAGCCAGGTATAGAGATGCTTTCATACCTTTTCTAGCTTTTCCTGAGTTTTATAAGGGAGTAAAGGAAAAAGAAAAGCAAACCACTTTGAAAAGCTTCACACATTGTCTTCACATATATATGTTGCCCTCAGTACACTGTTTTTCGGTACAGCTTAAGAAGCGTATGATTAATCATCTTGCTGGTACCTAACATCTCTGTCTTGGCAGTACTGTTGCCAGAACTGGGGCTAGTCCTATGCTGCTGTAGCTCACAGCTAGCCATCCCCTCCCTTGTGGGGGCTAGCACACAGCTCAAGGGGACCCCTCCTATCTCTCCTTGCACAGGTACCCACGGGAACTTCTTGAGCCCGTTTCCACCTGTGCAGAGACTGGTCTCTAGATTGCATCAAACATTTTTTTTGAATTCTATTTTTTTTTTTTTCCTTAGTTCGCTTAGAAAGGCTTCTCCACAGGAGCTCAATCTGTAAGTACAGTTCTTCAAAAGCACCTCTTGAATGGCTGCTAAGAAATACTTTTTCCATTAATATTTATATCAAAGATGTCTCCTCTTAAGAACAACTTATAGAACACTTAACTCAAGCAATGATTACTGACAGCCACTATTCATTTCTTTCAAGGAAAATTTATCAAAGTGTTTCCTGCTGGGTCTCTCCTGGATTTGGTCTAAAACTTATTCATAGACATTTCAAGTTCCTGCACAAAGAAATCCATGTTTGAACTCGAGTGGCTGTTCTTCGTTTCCTGACTTCATTTTTAATGCTGATTTTTTTCTCTCAGACTTTTACATTTAGCTTCTTGGACAGAAATGGGAAAAAAATGGAGAAAGCAAATCAGAGAAAACTCGAACCATTATTAATTTAGTAATTCTCACATAACACTTCTAAACTAGCTAGGTGACCAGTTCCTCTAAGAACTGCTGAAGACTCTTTCTTCAGATTTATACAAACACAGCAAAAATGTCCGGCCTAGAAGTCGACTCAACACTTTTAAGCCCTGAGGAATGTGCTGAGTCCCTACCACTGCTTCAGGAGCGCATCATCCTCTTTGTCCAGCAGTCTCCGTGACCGCGTTGCGGCCTGTGCTCTGAAGGGATGAGGACGTGACTAGCTGCCTGACCATGACATCCGTCTTATTCTGAGATCTGCACTATAATTGGATGCCCACATACCCGCAGAAAGAGCAGTGCAGAGACTTTTGTTATGTGCCACTGAGACTAAGGAGCTCTCCCCAGCCCAGAACCACAGTGCTTTAACAAGAGAAAGCAGTTACACTCTTTGAGTTCCTCTGACACAAGTAAATTCATGGCCCTCTACTGTTGAGCACAAAGGGGATAAGCCCTTTGTTAATTACTTAGAGACAGTCAAACCACAAACAGTCCTTGTATTCCAGTATCCTTCATGTTTTGACTGTCTCTCTGTGTAAACTCTGTGGGAGTTCAAATAAAGCTCCTGTCAGCAACGTTATTTCCCTTACACAAAGCTGATGTGTCAGAACAGGCTGTCTAGGACCAGTCTCTTTTCTAGTACAAATTAATCCCCTAAGGCACTCCTCATAACTTACTATTTCCATTCAGACTGTTGGATCATATAAGGAATAATCATCTCCTAGTATATCAGGCAAAAAAAAAAAAAATTGCCTATATTCTTAGAATTTTCTTAGTTACTTGGTGACAAACAGAGCATAAAAATAAATTGACCCTTTTTAAAAACTTGCCTGTATTAGATTTGTTAACACTTCAGAATTATGTTTTAGGTCACACATACTCTTCTGCAATCATATTATAGAAACGGTTCCATTTTAACACACAGTCTCTTGCCATCACAATTTAGCCTGGCTGCCCTTATTGATTTTCAAGCTGAAAGTGCTTCCTGCACAATAGCATAATGATGAGTCTCAATGTACTTGCTGGCTATTCCACCCATGTAAATGCATTACATCAAAGAAGCTTTCCATACTGAGTAAGAAGCTCCTTTTTTACCGCATCTGAAAAATGTCAAGTTAAGTTAGACACAATACAGTAGGTCTGTGGAAGGCCTGCTGCACAAACAAAGAACAAAAAGAACACATCACAACCAGATCAGTTCTACGAAGCAAATATAGTAAGTCATGAACCCTTCTAACAAAGTTCCTTCCATCAATGCATTTAGTCATCCTGGATGACTTCCGTCATGCTTTTTGACTTTTAATACCTGCTATCTCTGACAAGTCCTATAAGAACAGGATGTATCCTGTCTCAGCTTAAGCTTAGTCAGTGCTATATAGGGTCCTCTTGCACTAATTTTTGTGATGATGCAGATACCAGAAAGAAAAGAAACTGACAGATGGCACTGAGGAGCAATTCCTTTTGAAGATGGGACATTAACGAACAAATGATTTTGTTAAAGCAGAAATTAAGTGTATCACTTCAGGCAGAGGAACAGCAGACACAGAATCTCATAGTTTATGAGATCATGTTTCAAAGATCAAGTAACGTTTGCATCCAGAACCGTTGTGTTCCTATTCCAAGAGTGCAACTATTTACTCAACATGAAACATGTCTTCTTTCCTATGTTGTAGCCCAAATATTTAAAATATTTAAGACAGGTTACAACACTGCAGTTCTAAGTCATGATATTAAATGCATGTCTGGGGAATTACTTGGTCCAAGCAAAAATATATGCCTCTGAAAAAAATATTTTGAGATTGTACCATGAAAAGATTTGGGGGGGTGGATGGTGGGGGTGAAACATGTAATATCTTTAATATCTTGCTTCGAAATCACTCAGGTTACCCAGTTAACCCAATGTGTATTTTTCAATGTACTTTTAGTGTTTACTGAGGTATATTTGAAAACCATTTACTTGAACGCTACATACATGCCTATGCCAAAATCTTAATACCTTATTTTACCTATACCTGCAAATGGCATTTAGAGCTTGTTTTTCTTCACCAAAGAGGAAATTTTTATTTGACAGCCCTGTAGACTACAGCAACACCAGTTTCAGATTTATTTTCTGAAAGAACCAATGTTGACTTTTAATAGAAATTAATCAAATAAAAAAGGTCTTACCTTTGTGCATCCTTCTTGATTCTGACTCTTTGGTCATGGTTGCCAAGCAGTGAGGAAGTACACTGCCACAGCTGTTGCTCTGTCCTAATGGTAAATGTCCCTGTAGGGAATTTGCAAATATTTGTTTGAAACTATACTTTTACAGACTTTTTTTTTTGTATTAGCAATTAATGGTAAAATAACTTGATTTATCATTAATATCATTGTCACATCAATCAGCCCTAGGTATTTTAGTTGTATGAAGTCTCTATTAAATGAAAACATTTGCAAAGTAGTATTTCCTATTTGTTGATATACCATGTCACAAATAAGGAATATTGTCACAAATAAGGAGTACTGTCACTTTATACACAACCTTGTCCTTATCATCTAGAGGCCTTAAGTAGAAAGGAAAACAGTCTTTTGAGTCTCTAGAATCAAGTTAAACTAACCTGGAAATATAATTCTTGAGATGTACCAATCATAAATGTGTGATTACTATTACAGCACCATGTTTCCAGAGGCCAATATAAAGGCTGGAAGGATGTGAGGTTTCACATATCTTCCTACATGTTAATAAACATGAATTTCTTTCAAAATCAATGTCAGTTACGAATTAGAGGGATTACATAATGCTACAATAGAGTATCAGGTAACCTTACCCCTAAACACAATACAGTTTTATATAAAATCTGAAGGCTATTAATAGCATGCCACTACGCACTTTAGATGTAACGCTTCGTCCAAGAGTAGCGCTGTTGAAGTGTGGTGATACAGTCGGCGCTGTTTTCTTGCGAGGCAAAGTATCACTCATGTACATGCATTCCCTGTGCTGCTTCTTTCGCTCTTCCAGATTTCTGAAATGCTTCAAATGGAATTTGTTAAACAGTTTTGACAAAAAGAATTGACCTACTTGCTCAGCAATGCTCTATATGGAATATAGTAAAGTCAATAGTCTGGGTATTTCATTAGACAGAAAAAAACCTTATAGTACTTATAGTACTGCTTCACAGTATTACATAGGATTTCTATAAATATCATAATAAAAAGCATGTTAAGAAAATGCATCACAACCATGTATACTTTCTGTGTATGTGTCCCTGTAACTAAATTACTTTTCTTAAAATTGAAGTCTAGTGTACAAACGGAATTCAATTAAAAGAGAAAAAAAACATGCATTTACAAGTTATTCTAATGAATTGGTGACAAAACAGTACAGGTTTTGAGAGGCATTGTTCAAACACATAGGAAAAAATAATTGAGGATTTCAAATGAAGCCACTTGAACTTTATTTCTGCAAGTCTTCTGACAGTTATAATGACTTCTAAATATTAACATTTGCCTCTGGATTATTCATATCAGGAGAATTTTTGTTCATTATCATTCTATAATACATTATGTTTATTTTTCAATGTGCAATGCTTTTAAGTATAACACTCAGAAATATGATCTACCATGTTACTCTAAAAATTCTGCATGTAAATCAACTTCATGGCCACCATAACAACAAATAAATCCCAAGTTATCAGCTTTGAGTCTGTTACCTGTTGTTGCCTGCGGTGTTTCTTAGCTGGCAGAGGAGGAGGTGTATCAGATAAAGGAATAGGATCTACATGAGTAGCCATGACCGCAGGCCAATGGACTGATGGAAGTTGAGCAATAGAGCGAGGAGAAAGAGAGTGAGGAAATACAAATCCAGAACAGAGAGGTGATCTTAGCTTTATAGAAAAAAGAGAAATTACACACAAAGTTTTCTTTTTGGAATTGCTCAAAAGATACGGCACATACAAGCTGAAGTTTTAGCACTGTGTTTGTTGAAGCATTTAGCAGGAAAGGAAGTTTGTTGTATTGGAACTCTTAAGTCATATCTAACTACGAGAAGCAGCACAGAAATGCCAAAGTTTAAACTAGTTGCTGCCTCCTTGCCACACAAAGGTAGTAGGTGTGTTTACATTTGTAAGATTATTCCATTCTTTTAGAAGTGGATTTATTATAAATTTGCTATGGTCATTACAACTTCAAAAACATCACAAAGAATGAGAAAAAGGAAGAGTAAACTAGAGACAGACTGGACAGACTCTGTGGAATAGCTAACATAAGTAGAAGCTACCCCTCTCCCCCAGACATTCAAAATATATTGCTTCTATCAAAAGAAAAAAAAAAAAAAAGATATATTGCTTCTATCAGGAAGAAAAAGTTATAAAACATACAAAACCAACACCTAAGCACCTCTGAATGAGTAATTAGATGTGTCCCCAGACCGTTTCTCCACAGGTGCCTTACATTATAGCATTTGACAGGCAAAGGTTGTCACTTATTCCTGCTTGGGTCATAATGATTCAGGTTTTTTGGCCTCTGAAGTTCCACCTACACAACTTCAACTTGACTGTTTCTTCAGCTTTACTATTAAACCATTATCTGACTTGGTAACTGGCAGATGAGAGTTTGCCTTTGGGACAATTTGTTACATGTTGAATGACAAAATAAATAAATGAATAAATAAAAATCAGCCATGAAAGAACAATGCAAACAAAGGGAAATGTCTCCCAAACAAACCTCTTTATTTTGTGGCTGGCTCGTCAGCACAGCCGTGGAAGGCTCAGTGGAAACTGCGTCAGCATCTGTGGGGGGCTGAGTGGAAGGGGATATATTCGTGGAATTGCCATACAGCTCACTAATTTCACTTACACTGATATAGCCCTAAAAGGAGGAATTCAGAAGTTAAAAGGAGCAAAAGCCAAAAGACGTGCAAGAGTATTAATGTATCTAGTATGATGAAAGTTAGTTTCGAGTGATACAGCCAGATATTTGTTACCATTGAAATATTTCATCATAAATAAAGCAAAATTATCATCAAGCTTTTCAAATGTTGAATATTTGGATTCTGAAAACTGTTCTTCATTTAATTCTAAACACATTTATGTGATCAAAAGGCAAATGTACATTAAGTGACCAGGAGATTTCAATAAGATGTAAATACCCCTCAGAAATTGTTATACAGCCCTTTCCTGGGAAAGCAAATGTACCAGCATGTTGACATGTCAGTATGTATGACAATTAACATATTTATTCTTTCCAAAAATGCATAAATTTAGCAATGTATTTTAGCAAAAATACAAATCCTGTTATCTATCAGCATAGTTTTGAATGTATTTTATCATTCTGGAAAATTAGCTATCATACAGTGAATACTGCACTCTAGAAATAGGAGATAAATCTCAATTCAGGTACCATTTGATGAACTATTAAATGAGAAGGAAGCTGGGTAAACTACTCAGGTTTCCCGCTAAAAACGTGGCCATATTACAGTAAAATACAATCCACTGTGAATAAATGTAAACCCTGCTTAGCCATATTGTAGCACCAGTATATTGGGCACCAAAACTTGGCAAGTCTATGAATGCAATATTGTGTTATTTTTTATAACTGATAAAAGCACTTTTCACCACTATATGAAAGAATACTCAGTTCAAACTCCCAACCCCAGTGGGAATTCCCACTGTGGTTAAAAAAACAAAACAAAACACAACAAACAAAACCAACAAAACAACAACAAAAATAATAGCAAATGATTTCACAGTGTGTTAGTTCAGGCCTTATTATATTAAATTACAGAAACTGTCTCAAGTCAGACTAGAGATACAAGTCAACGCTGAACTTTTAAATAGCATTGATTTTTTCCTTTCTTATTTAAGTATTGGGATAAGCATTCTGCAGTTCCTTCTCCCATTTACCTTACAGTAAGTCCTAATTAATTTCACTGCAGTGAACTGAATGACACTGCTTGATAATCCACTTAAAAAAAAAAAAAGTGTCAGGTTCACTTAATGTAGTTGCATTTTGAAAATCTGTTATTAAACAAACCATTACGTGGATATGAAGATAAAATCAGAGATAGTGCCGCTTTCTAGAGAAAACAATCAGATTCATCATAGAAGAACAAAAACGAGGCTTGGACTTGCCAAATGTCCTGGTGGGAGATGAGGTATTCAGATCACAGTGCAACCTAGGACACTGCAAGTGCAAGCATCTGCAACATGGCTCGCAGTGAGGAAGGATGCTCAACCCCACTGACACGTTCTGCAAACCATCCTGCTTCACCAGGAGCTTTGAGGACAAATAAGCAAGATCACATTTCCCAGATGCTGGTAGGATGCATGGTTGCTTTAGACTTCAAGAGCCCAACTGCCCATTGTGACACCTACATCATTAGATGGGGCAGACCACGTTCAGGGCTTCAATTCAGTCAGACCTCTTAAGCAGAGGCTAATGGACACCTGTCTGCCTATTTGAAACACTATTTTTTCCTGCTTCTCCTACTGTGACTACAACGAATCTGCAAATTGCACATAACAAGTCAAAGCAAGAGGATAAACATGGGAACTTAATATTTTATGTGCTGACTGAATCTTTGTAATAGGCTATGGCTTTTACAAAGTTACACTGACCTTGTTCATAGATCTCGAGTGAGAGGCTTAACGAAGCATCCTTCAAGTTATGAAGTCTTGACAGGGGCAGGTAAACTCTGAGCCTCAACAGGTATTACACAAACTAACTCAAATTTTCAGCAAAAATATTTGGCACCTTAATTCTAACTATTCACAATAATTATGTAAAAATCTTAATAGGTTTCTTACAACCACAATAGCTTCAAGTCCTTTAATCCGATGTTTTTTTTAAAAGATCAAAACATACACTTATGCATTTCTGCAGAGCCTTAAAATAAAAGAGTGGGTGTGGTGAAAGAGGCCTCTTTGTAAAATCTACGGTTCTAAAAGATGACTAAAACACGTTAGTACTTGAACAGAGTTATTCCTGGACCTCATTTTTCTTCATTTCAATGAGGTTTAATTGTCTATTTGAGAAAATTAGATACTCCACACACCCACACTTAAAAATGATTGTTTTTCCAGGGCAAGAGTTTAAAGTGATACCAGTCACATCTGGGAAAATGTCAGAGCAGCTATTTTTGTTCTGCCATGCATTTAGACTTTTATGAATAGCTTTACTAAGTCATTTCATCATCTCCAAAAAAGTGTATGAATAGGACTTGACTGAAAACTAAAGTAATTTTGCATGAAGAGTTATTAAAAGATACTTATGGTAAAGTAAAAAGCAACAAAACTATTTACCTCTTTTAGACTACTGGGACTTACAGGAAATCCCTTTCCTCCGGAAAGCATGGAATATTTCTTTTCCAGATTACAGAGATTCTCTTTTTCCTGTTAATAACAAAGTTTACATTAAATGCCAACAGCAATGTGGTGAAAATAAATGCTAGCCATTTTCTCAAAAGCATAAAGAAACATGCTGGGATTGAAGGCTAGAAGCTGCAAAGCTGAGCTCCAACTTCATTCATTACAGCAGAACCAAACAAAAAATGGAGATACAGAACAAAAAGCTAGTGAAAGATTTTGTTGAATATTGAATAACCACAGCCAAACAAATAGGTCCTCCTCCAGCATTCTGAAAATGCTGATTCGTCTTAATGAACTGAAGTTGATTTTCCTCGTGGTTAACAACAAAACAAACTAGACACGAAAGGTTCACGCCAGCTTCTTATTAACCAGATACTAACTGATATAAGTAGTTAATCTTCTGGTCTAGTACAAGCTATTACAAGTCAAAAATCTTAACTCCTTTTGCCCAGTTTCAGAAATTCTTTGCTGTGTTCTCTGCAAGTATTACATCTCAGGATCTTAAGAGTATTTGCCAGGTTTTGTTTACTGGGTCTTCCACTTTATTTTAGGAACCTACATCAAGGAACAAGTAGACTTTTAGCTTTCATGTCCTCAGTGGTCCTCCAGAAGTTCAGTACCACTAGGAAGCACAGGCTTTGACTAGCTTAGCAACCGACTGTTTAAATCCTCTGAAGAGGTAATGCCTCAAAACCTCTCTACAAAAAATGCCACTAACATTTTCTGTTAGGAATGATTAATTACAACAGAGTTTTTTTGTTTGTTTGTTTTTTAAAGTTTATAGGATAGAAAAGATGTCTATCCACTTTAATACCTACTCACTAGCTTCTGCACAATTGATGCTTTTCTCATGTTCTAAGTTTTTTTTTATTTTATTAAATGCTCTTTTATTATGCATTAAAAACATCTGAAAGACAATAAAAACTTACCCTTTGCAGCATCATTATTAGGTTATTTTTCTCTTTTACAAAATGATCTTGTTCTCTTTGTGCTTGTTGGACAATATGATTAGCTTGTTTTTTGAGAGCAGAAATCTTTTCCTAATAGAAAAAAAAAACAAACAACAATAAATCACCTTTTACATATTTTATTTTCAAAGCACGAGACAATAAGTAGCAAGGATCCTATTCATGAGACCTCACTCATTCATAAGAGATGAAGAGATGACACCTTACTACTGTGAAGGAAATAATTGAACAAGATCCAGACAGTTTTTCTGTCTAAATTCTTTTCTGGAGAAAAGAATTTCTTCAACAGACAAAACAAAAGAACAGTTGTATATATTCCTGGATAATGTGGTGACTAACACCCATACACTGAAAAAGGTAGTTCAGAGATGCAATTTCTGATCTCTGAAAAAAAATAGTATTTAATTGTTTCAAATAGAACCATTACAACTAATTTTAAAAATTAAGATAATTTTCTTAATTTGACATTCTATTATTATTTTAACAAAAACATTTAACATCGATCATCAGCATATAATAAGTGTAGTTTTGACCACAGCATATGAATCTCCTTGCTTAATGAAGGAAAAATGCTTTGGTACTTTCTGTAGCAAATTTAATGTTTTAATTCTCATATGCAAATATGCATACATTAATTTTATTCATTTGTTTGCTTTCACAGAAACACACAATTTGATGTGTTTGCAATGTTATTGGGCCAGCATCTTCAAACTGCTGCAAAAGCTTTTTCAAAAGGAAAAATTTTGCGTAATTTCTTGCAGATAGGCAGGCAGGTTGTAGATCTATTTCATCTCCTTTATGCTCAGCAACAAAGATCAAACATATTGAGTGTTACTGCTTTTACCTTTCTACTGACAATGCTACGCTGATATTCAGCTACTTCACGCAGGAGCTGTTGTGTCAGATTTTCTTTCTCTTCATCTAATCTGCTTTCATGTTCAAGCTGCTGAAATTCCAAATCTTCAAAGTGTTTGCTTTCTATGTCCAATAGATCAGCATCCTTAAGCAAAAAAAGAATAAAAGCATCTTGAATTTACTGAACCAGAGTAGAGATACTTATAAACACACACAAAAAATAATCAGTCTAAAATGGTGCTTATGTACCTCATGCAACATGTTTAGAAGCTCAATGCTTTTAATTATGTAGTGTCATAAGAGAGCAAATAAGGCTAATGGTTATTTGATGTTACCACTCCTAGCATCTCCCTTGCTGATAAAGACATCCTCTGCATTGTAACAGAGTTGCTTTTCAGTGTTCAGAGCAGGCAGGAGCCTCTGAAGCACCGAGCACATCCTGGCTAGACAGATCGGTACCATGCTGTAGCCTGGTTATGACTCAACCTGAGCGCAAATCGATTTGGTGAGGCTGCTGCATGCCGAACTGGAATGGCACCTGCTCACCAACCAAAAAAGTATAGAAATTGTCATTCCAGTAACTCTAGAGAACCACACGCTGAACGAACTACTTGTGGGAACACACACTCAAATGAAGGAGCACTTAATTTCTTCAAGTCTAGCCCAAGACGTAGTGCTGTTTATAACATCAGCCATGCAGCCAAATAAGAGGAAGGATGCGTGGAGCTGTGTGTCCTCTGCACACCACCATCCCCTGCGCACTGCTGCCCAGCCATGCCAGATGTGCAGCCAGGGGCTGCACAGCAACCTCCGGATTGGGACAAAGAATAGCTCCCTGTGCAAATACACAATGAAGGACACTACTCATCCACACAGAGACGTTAGTCAGTAGGTATACCTTCTACAAGCCCTCAGATGTCACCAGACTTTGAATGAAGTGGTCTCCCTGCCCAACAGGAAACGTATGCTTGCTACAGGCACTGGAGAGCAGCCATCAGTCAACAGTCCAGTGCAAACAATGCCACCTGCCCACTGCCATCCCAGCCCAGACTCCAGACCCACACTGCAGTCAGATGCTGCAGGAAAATTCACTGCTCGCAACCTGGGCACAAAGCACCAAGCAACTGAAGTCTCAGAGCTGAAGCACTAAGGGAGTTCACCACCTTCACACCTACCATGTTGGCAGTAAAGTAGCACGACATAATCTGCTTTAAACAAAGGTATTTAATCCTACACAAGGCCGAGTTTCAGGGAAGAATAATATTTTCCTATTTTGAACAGCATGCTTATGATAAAGCCCTAACTTTTCTCACACTTTATATCCATTTAAGAGATACTGTGCACTATCTTAGTGGCAACTTCTACTACTCCAGCCACAGCAGCCACAGTAAACTCTCAGTCCAACTGGTCTGGAATAACATGCAATAGAACCAAACGTACATTTAATGGTACACCCACATTTGTCCCATTTTCAAATCCAAGACTGTTATTAAGTCAGCTTGAAATGAAAAAATATACATGTAAATATTTAACCAAAATAGAATTCTAGAAGCTTCTTGGTAGTCAATAGTGAAAAAGGATTTACTACTACCCCACAGCAACAAGTTTGTAATTTGTCGTGCATTAATACCTTCAAGTACATGACTGCACAGGAAAGGCTTCTTTCCTTCCAATACTTTTGGGATATTATTGCCTTTTTTTTTTTGGTAACTTAAAAAAAACTTAAATGTCTACAAAAAACACCAAACAACTCAGTTAGTTACTACAGAATAATTTAACATTGTTATTTCCAAAGTTGGACTTCTTCACTTTTTGCTTCTTGAAAAACAAAACAGAATTCTACAAATAAAATGTAATCTAATTACTATATATAAGAAATAAGTATTAAGACTATTTCCTATAAAATGAAAGATTAAAAATCTTATTACTGATATAAAAAGTCTCAAGCCAGGAAAAAAAAAAGTTTCTCTTTCACCTGTCATCTGGTGCTTGCAATATTGAAGCTTTGAAAATGATTGCCCCCCTATCGAAGTCAGCTCTATATGCCGCATAGCTGACATAAAATTAATTGATACTAAAATCCTCCACACACAACAGACGTACTTGAACTGACAATAGCGTAGCTTTTTGGTTACAAATAATACATAATGAAATCAAATTGCAATTAGACTTTATGCAAAGATTGAAAAAAAAAAACAAACACAGATGTCCAACTCTTGAAAATGTAGGAAAAATGAAGTGGTTAAAGTAAGTGATATCATCTTCAAAATTAAATATTCATAACACAGTTCATGCTAAAAGTTATTTTATGTGCTGAAGAAAAGATATTATCCATGATCTCACAGAGACAGCAATTTAGAACATTGCAAAGAAAGAGCACATTAAACAGGATTAAAAAATAATGGGGGTCAAATGCTAAAACAGCTGATCCCACTAACCAAAACTCAATATTATCTGCACGAGCAAAGATTAGAAGAGTAATGCACTACTGTCCATCTAGACATCACACTTCCAACAGCCTCCATGCAATCCAAGAGGCGTAAGGTGCTAATTAAGGTTAAGTTGCTCTAAAAACATTCAACACAAAATGATTTCTAATCCACCCATTTGGGCTCTACTTCTCTACCACTACGCAAAATATTTATTACAAGCATTCCACCAGAAGGAAACCAGTCATGACAATTCTAAGTTTCAAAATATGTTCAGGCACTTTGTTGGATACTTCAAGCAGAATATGTTACACTTAACTCTAAAATCAACAAAAAAAAAGTTAATGCAATCTTGAAACTTGCTACTGACCCTCTTCAGCTGCTGCTGTAATTGTTCCCTCATGGACTCAGGGCAATTATCAAGCTGCGTCTTCTGCTCGGAGTAAAGCTCCTGAAGCCTCTCTAGTTTTTCCCTCTCAGCATCAAGTTTTAATTTTTCCTGAAGCATGAACCAGAAAATAAACAGAATTACCTTCAAACTCAAGCAGGTGTTAGTGACTATGACAGTGTGAGGCAAAAACTTAATGAACAGTTGAAGCACATAGGTCACAGACAGAAAACACTTGTTAGTTGAAATGCAATGATGGGATTGCAAAATAAACAAAATAAAACATTAATAATTTTAGTAGGGTAATTAATTCTCTCCCTTGTCACTGTGCTTTGTTCCCTTGTCTGGATGATGCCTTTAATGCCCACCGCTTACATGCGTGTCTCACCTAATGAGAAAAAACGTGGAAATTATATCCATGTTAGTCAGGTAACTGATGAAGGAGAGAGAAAACTGTGTTTTTTAGAAAGCAAAATGGATGGAAAGTGACTGTAGTCTGGCAGTGAGGGGAAAACGGATTTTCTCAGGAGAATGAAGTAAATGCTTATGTGCTTCTAGACAGATAAGTACCCTTAGCAAGCGATGAAAACACAGAATGAGACAGAGATTTGTGATTTGATAACTACTCCAGGAAATCCTGTTGCAGCAGAAATATGAAATGATTTAACAAATAGATTCATTGGCTTCAGGATACAGGAACTGTAAACTGCTCTCTGGGGTCAAAGGGGATGCTCTACAAGAGACTCCTCATTCTCTTGTAACCAGCTCAGCTTTCTTCTCATTCCACTACAGCAGCACCACTCAAAGCACTGCTTATCACCAACAAAAGCCTTTACCAAGCTTTAATAAAACACCACTTGTTTTGCGTGCAGCATTGCTCTGAAGACTGGCTGCAGATCACTTAACACTGCCTTGTAGACTATTTGTTGATGGACCCAAATTTGGGTACCAATACATCAGCGTACAGAGAATTCTTTCAGTACCTTTTACTTGCATGTGCACTGGCCAGCACAGCAAATGCATTTCCCGCAACTGAGCAATTAATAACCTGAAAAACTAGCATGCCTGATACGCCATAAAAACTGAAGGGATCGAATGAGCCTCACTCCCTACTATCTGCCCTAGAGTCACACTCTACAGCTCCTTTTATCTGTTTTTTTTTTTTTTTTTTTTTTTTTGTTTGTTTGTTTTTTTTTTTGTTTGTTTGTTTTGTTTTGTTCTGTAGTTAGGCATCTCTTCTCAGATGGTCTCTAACTCTCCTCAATAATCTGAAGTTCAGTGCCAGCCCAAATATTCCAGCTTTGTCTTCTGGACTGCTCCAAGAAAGTTGAATTCTGCCACGGCACTTACTCATTAGTCCTCTTCCCAGTCCCAACCACTAAAGTCAAATGCATGGCTCAGCAGGTGCTATACAATCAGCCTAGCAGCACCCATATGGCATATACCATAGAAAATAAAATTATTTTAGCCTGCAGAACTTGCTATTTCAAACTGTGGGAAGGTCTTTTCCCAAGATCTTCTCTTTGCTGTTCCTGACAAGGTTCTCAGACTCTTATGCAATAACAAACTTACATTAGCTTCCTGCTTTATAGTTAGATCTCTAAATCTGAGTGGGATCGGTATATGGGATTTCCTTTTCCCAGTATTTAAAAAAACAACAACAGCAGGAAACATTCACAGTCAGTCCCAATGTGATCTAAATTCCCAACTCTGCTGTTTTCATTTACATGTGCAGCTTCTCAGCCCATATAATTAGATAAACAGAATGCTGAACACAACAGTTGGTTGGGTTTTGTTCTGAAGCCTGTAAAAATGAGCAACTAAGCCAGCATATTCAATTACCTGCCCTTCCTGTGCTAGCTTCTTGCAGCAGCAGGGCTCAGAAATACAGAGGATGACACACATGCAAGCTGCACAGCGAGGGAGAAGCATGCAACTCTTGGGATGCCACCTCTAGACCTCTGTCCCCAAGGAACCCCATTTGCTGAATCATCCTTACTGCCAGCACAGAAGGGAATTATGAATAAATCAGTAGTTCCCCTCCTCACAAACTCTCCTGTTCATTTAATGTTCAGCCTACAGTCTGCCACATTGCTAGGCAGGCATAAAGGGGAAGACAGAAACAAACCAAAAGCCCCAAGGACCACTGTGACCTTAGCTACGGTATAGTTCCTCTGAAGCTATTAATAACTCCCCAAATGCCTATGTGCTGCAACAAACACACTCATTCATTAACAAGCAAGTCAACCCTTGAGTGTGAAGAGACATCATCAGCCAGAATAAAACTCGCTGAGAACCATGCCAGAGATACTATTACTTCCCTCAAGAAACTAGGAATGTATTCCTTTGAGATTGAAAGCGATACTCATCTGTCCTATTTATAGCGTAGGAAGTACTCACATCGCAACAAACTGGCTCCCTCGAAACGTGCAGTCTTACAGGAAATATCACTTTCAGCAGCGAGAGGCATTACATGGTTTGCAGCTGTGGAGTTCAGATCACCAACATCTCTCATTTTGCCTTGGTAAAGCTCATTTAATTCACAAAAATAATTTGATAAAGAAATTAATAATCAGATTAATATATACATTTTTTAAAGAATCTCTTCTATAAATGGATCCAGGTGAGCTCTGTCAGAAGGGAAGCAGTGTTTAAGCGATTAAGGTAGGTGCAGGGCCCAGCTGCAGGCCCAGGGCTGGCAGTGCATGCTGTTTGCTCAACAGGAGGGGCACAGCGTGAGGAGAGCCCATGTGCTCCACCAGCACATCCTCACCTTAACCACCTGGGCTCAAGCTCTCAAAGGTTTTACTACAGATAACTGCCTCCCAGTGTCCACTCCAGAGCCACACAATCTGTAGTTTGAATTCTTGAGACCCTGCTTCCACAGAAGGGAAGTAGAGCTCAGTAAAGCACAATACCTGGTCTTAGTCTGCACTATGTGCTATCTGTAGATGCAGGTTACATGAACTTGGGGTCAGCCAGGACAGACAGCAGGACTGGATGGTGTTTTTGTGATGCTGGGGCACAGCTTGGATCAGTTTTGAGGGATACCTGGATACCACGAAGGACAGCAGCAGAAAGAAGTGAGGTATAATCCCCCAAAAGCAGAGACAGGATGGCAACAGAGCTCCCACGATATGAATACAGACCCTAAGTGATTAACATGGGCCACAACAGGAATTCAACCTTTAGATCTGGTAGAACTGATTTTAGGGGAAAATAAAGAGAGAGCAAAGAACATATATCCAGTACACATAAAACATCTCATAGATAACGAGGACACAGAGGAGATAGGATGAAAGCACTTAAAGACAATCATAGCCACTACAAAAATGGAAGCAAAAGAACAGAAAGAGACAAATCGCTTCAGTGCTATTGCCTGTGGTTAAGGATGCCCTATGTCTGATCAACACCGCTACTTAAAACCCCAGCAGGTCCCCACACTCCTTCTGCAACTGAGTCTCACTTTTCAATCTGTCACACATCCCATTCTGCTACTGCAGGCAGGCTAAAATTGTAGAGCAGCATGTGTCTGCATGCCCATGTGCCTTCTGAACCAACCCTCTAGCCTGAGCTGGTAGGCTCTGCAGAAACCAGACAGAGCAGATGTGGATGGAGCTGAGAAAATTTCTCCAAAATCCAGAAGAAAGTGTAAAAACAAAGCAAGAAACCCAACATTTTTACCAACTCACTTCAAAATGGATTGTATGGCTGGGTGAATAGGGCTCATTCTACAGCCTTCAAGAAAAAAAACAAACAAAAACCTCCCATCAAAAAACAAAATCAAAAAAACATGGTACGTATTATTTTCTGAGAGGAACAGAAACTGCAAAGAAATGCCTTTACACCCAGCAGGCTGTTCTACTATGAAATGTTCCAGCCTGAAGTAGTCCAGAATCTTCCTCGGTCCAACTCATCTCCAACTCATCACGTTTTAAGGTAGCAAGATCTCACGACCCACCCCAAGCTTCACACATGCATGCTGTCTCTCAGACTGGAAAAAGCTAGTCTCAGAGCTTTCTCAGAAGTAAGGAGAAACATATGCAGCTCGTTGTTCTGAAAAGCTTCTCCATATCATCCTCATGTTTTCACCTCTAGCCAAACTTTGTTCTTATACACTCCAGAAGAACATTCCTCCCTACTTTCCCAAAACCTACAGCAAAGAGAAGGACCACAAATGCTACAAGTGGAGGAGGAAAGAATACAGAAATAATTCCTTTCCAATTGAAGCAGTATCATGATACAAAGTTTGTCAATTCAATAAAACATTTTGGAGAAGAAGCAGCAGAAGACCAAGAAAATTTGACCTTATCAACTCAGTGATAAAACCAGTCTAACTATTGCCATGGATTTGTAAGAAAATACTCCACTCCCTAACAGAAAGCTGGCTTAGAAACCTTATCTTCTCTTCAGTGGTTACTCACTGAAAGGGGCAAACTGTGTGTTTGGGGAAAGTGTTAAATTTGAGGTCTACCAACTCTTTATATACTGCAAATTGAAATCATTTCCAATGCTATGGCTGATAAAAATCAGACCACATACATCTCTGATTAAAAAAATACTATTGAAATGAAACAGATCCTCCTGTACACAACCTGCACACATGCTCTTATATTTTTAGACTATTCTTTCCTGCATTCTTTGGTCTCTTTCAGAAAAGATGTATAAAAATTGTCACGACTTGGCTATTTGTCAATAAACCCCCATGAGCATTGTGAAAGAAGCCTTTAAAGGAACAAAAAATGTATGCCAGGCATATAAAAAGAAGCATAATATGATGGAAGAAGGTTATTTCACAATAGTTCTTTTTACTGTACAATGAGTAACTAATTTATTACATACAGACTCCATCAGTGTTACGATGTATGAGAGATCTCAATGGTTTTGTTCCACAGCAAGTACAAAGCTAGTGTTTAAAAGCATTTTACATCAGAGCAAGGCATGCCTCTGCTTGAAATCAACAGTCAAAACAGTAGCACCCATGAACTTGATCTTAAGACAATTCAAGGCTTTTTCTGAATTTCTAAGCTCATCCTCTGACTGTTGCAATGTGTTGTCATATTGAAGAGATGAGGACGTAAAATAAAACCTCTGATTTTAGAGTATTGCTC